TTTTCTTTGCTTATATTCAAAATTTATTTCCTCTTTAGCAAAGTAATTTCTTTTGTATCAAAAAATACGTTTCACACAAATTATTTGTATAATAAGAAAAAAGAATTTTTCGAAATTTAATTAATTTTATGAGCAAAATAATTTGACACCATTCATGTTTTTTTTTTTTTTTTTAATTATTGGTGATTCCTATTTGTTTTTTCCTTTTCTTTCTTCCTCCCTTTCTTTTTTTCTTATTTTTATTTTTAATTTTATGAAAAGGATATTGACTTACTTAAGAGGGGGAAAATTAAGGAAGAAATGATTGATAAAACTTTTTCATTTAAATGTCAAAAACTCGAACAAAATATGCTGAAATTAGATTAATTAGGAAATTTAGCTGAATATATGAAAATTTTCATTTATGCCATATTTAATTCATTCATTGTTTATTCATTCATCTTGTTAAATCTTTATGATAATTAAATAATTTCACTATTAATTTTTTGTTTTCAAATTAATGTTAAATATTTATTTATTAAGCGATGTTTACTCGTTTGATTATTTTACGCTAATATTTATCTTTTGGAATACCATTGCATTTAATCATTTAACCATTTGAGTAAATGATTATTTGCATAATAACAATGAATCAGAGAGAAATGAAACGAAATTTGCCACAGAGAATTCGAACGAAAATACTGCAAAAATTTTTATCGAACTAATTTTATGTAATCTAAATGATTGATAAAATTAATTAGCGAAATAAATTGAACTTTTTTGATGAAAGTTAAGCTTAAAATGCTCAATTTTCTTCTTTTCTGATGGAAACTTTTCTTTTATAATTTACTTTAATTAGGATTTATCACAATTATTTATACATCACATTTAAGTATTAATCAATACTTAATTAGTACGCGATATGATTAACTCTCTAATTATTGATTAGTACTTAATATGTGATTGTATTTCGAAAGAATCTCACAAATTTTAAATTTGATCCTTTTTTCATCGATTTGAATCATTGAGTGTTTTTCTTTTGAATGGTAGAAATTGTTATTAAATAATAATAATAATGAGTTTTTTCTATTAATCAACGATTTATGTTTCATTTCAAATTATAATATTTGTGGTTTTTCTATAAATTACACAGCTTAGGGTGTTATCACATTGATAAGAACTGATAAGTGTTAAATAACGATACGATATGAATTAAGGAGAAAGGAAAAATGCGAAGAAGGAAAGAGTAAAGAAAAGAAAAAAAAAAGAAAGGAAGAAAAGCAAATAAATGGAATGAAAATTGAATTTAAATATTTAAATGAGACAATTCAAAAATTATTTTTACCTAATTGATGAGTTCACTTTGAGATGAATTATCACACTGATAAGAATTGATAAGTACTAGAACAGTGATAAGAGAAAAAAATCAAATTTATCAAATTTATGAAAAAATATTGAGATACATAAGTGACATTTTATTCATTATACCGTTTCTTTCAACAAATTTTTATTTTTTGTATAATTCTTTTTTCTTTTTTCACAGCTTCAATAATGATTTAAGAAAAAAGGAAACGATAAAATATGAAAGTTTAATCATATTTTATTCTTTTTTAAAAAAAAAAATGGGTTCTTAAACAAAATTAAAAAACTAAAAATTAAAAAGTTCAAATCTGACTGTTTTTATTTATTTTCAGTAATATAAAAATTTTTAAGCATTCTCAATCCGTTGATAATTGAAACTAAAAATTTAATAGGCGGAGCTAAATATAGGAGGAGTTATTGGAATTTCAGGCTTTAAAAGGTTGTTTATCAGAAATGCTTTTACAGTATAACTTCAGTTTCAGCTCATACCTTGCTAATAAATGAAAATGACATGAATTTTTTTCATTCAAATATGTAATAATTCCATTACTTGAATAATTTCAATAGTTTCATTTAAATTTTTTGAAGGAATTAAGCCTTCTAAAATAGTAAATAAAATGACTAATTCTAAAAGTTAAAGTTTTTTTAACTCTGAAATTGATATGGAAAAAAGAACAAAGAATTTAAATGTATTCTATTCGTTTTTTTTTTTACCTCTCCTCATTCTCTTTCTCTCTCACTCTCTCTTTCCTTTCCCTTTTTCTTCCAAAATAAAAAGAAATTTAAATTTTACATAAATTTATTGAATAAAATAATAAAGCACTTCAAAATTATTTCCATTCTCTTTGTAATTTTTTCTTAAAAAAAAAAAAATTAAAAAAGGATTGTTTATTCCTTACAATGTTTTGCTTAGCTAAAACTTCTTTTTTTCAATTATTAATATAAATTAATTAATGTTTGAAATATATTGCATATAATGAATAACTTTACAGAATATTTAATAATATAGCATAAAAGCATTTTGCACGATATATTCGATATCTAATACCTCTTCTGATTTTTGTTTTTTTAATGATTCAATAATATTTTTATATTTTAAATAAAAAAAGAAAGAAGACAATAACAATAATAAATTAATTAAATTACTTCCCTACTTCAAATTCTTTGATAGAACTATGCTATATAGCTTTTGTGCATTAAAATTATTCTCAATTGATTCAAACAAACCAGCTCTCTTTTTTTAAAAAAAAAAAAATACACAAGTATTGAAATATATGACCAAAATAGAAATTTTAATCAAAACTCTTAGTAATTTAATGAACAGAAACCTTTTTCGTTCTTTTTTGTATGCATAACTATCGAATAAATTATAATAAACAATTTATTATTTTGATTTTTCATTTTTTTTTATAAAAAAAATAAAATTCCTAATTAATTTATATTAATATTTTTGTTTGTTTCCCTTTTTAATCAGAATTTGAGTTCCTTTCTTAGTCAAAATTGCTATTGTTTTCTTTTTTTTTGATTGAAATTTAATTAATATTGTTATTTTTCTTCTAAAAATCTGATTAATTGTTTTTTTTTTTTCTTTTTTGTTTTTGTTTGCGATTTCACATTTTATTCATTTATCACATATAATTTACTGATGGAAGGATGAGAAATAATTGTGATGATTCTAAATGATATGTGAAAGCTGAAAATGAACTGATAAGATGTTATCAGCATATTTTTTATTCATTCTATTTTGTTTTTGTTTTTCCTTTTTTTGGCTTCGTCAGTAATGTAATGCAAATATTAAAACGTAATAATGCATGCGGCAAATTATTACATGTAATGCATGAATATCACTTTTGAAATTAAAATTTTAAATTTAGAAAAGTTATTTCAATTCTTCACAAGTCGTTGGTTGATGAAATGATTATGTTCGGTTGATAATTAATGCCGTAGATTTAATTTAAGTGGTAGAAAAAAAGGAAGAAAAAAAAAATGCACTAGTAAAAACAAAGAATGATGAGAATTATGATTTTTCATTTATTTCCCAACTTTTTTCCTACAAAATTCTTTTTCTTCTGCATTTTTTTTTTTCACAATACTAATTTGTTTACTTTTTACATACCTAAAAGAAAATTATTTCGCAAATTCTAAATTTAAATTATAATTGATGATTTGAGTAATCATTTGGCAATTCATCAATTGATTTTAATCCATTTTAATTTTAATCCATCAATTTCTAAATGATAAGTTTGACTTTAGGATTACAATCATTTGAGTTGTTTTTTTTTTCCTTTTTTCCTTCATTTTCTACATGTTCTCCTTAATTAAATATATATTAATAAAACGTAATTTAATGATTTGTTCGTTTTTTGATATTTGTATGATTTCAGTTGAAAAAAAGTTTTCATAAGTTGGAAAAATTTAATTGTGTACAATATATTTTATCATTTTTCATCATTTTTGAGTGATATGTGAAGTGATAGTGTAACTAAAAATATTTATATGAATTTATATGTTATATATTTATGTCTTTCAACCAAATTGTTAGTTCCCGCTTGTTTATCTTCTAACAAATTTAGCAAGTTACCTCAATTATAGTTTGTTGGAAGTTAATTAACGATATACTAAGTAAAAATCATAAGTCCTATTTGGATTAACTAATTTAGATAAAGGATTTTATTTTATGTTACAAAAATTGCTGAACTGCAATAAATCGTAAGTGATTAAGCGTCAACTAATCAAGAACAATCATTTTTATAATTAATCTCAGTTTAACTAATCACAGCAATACTGGAATGTTTATTTTAAATTGATAAATGTATTTGAGTTCAGCTTTTAATTTTTCTGCTTGCAAGTACTTTGCTCAATAAGAAAGCACATTACTGCAAAAATACTTCTGCCCTCATTCAGTCTTGTTTTTCTCTCACAACTCATACACTCGTTGAAAATCTTAATCATTTAGCTATAACAAAAATATTTAGATAGTGATATGTTTATATAACTATTTATATGATACTGATACGGTATTTGGTGATAATACGATACAGATACAGTATACGATACGGTACTAAATTATTGCTGATATGATGTGGATACAGCATTTTGTTTGACAATAATATAGTTCGCTCATTTCAAATAGTTTAATTTTATTACAACAAATCAAATTAAACCAATGTGTGTCTTTAATTTTGTCACAAGAAATCAAATTTTCACAATTTATTCATTTTTTTTTTTAACATAGCATCTCTTAGGCTGATCGTTTTGTAAATTTTAACTTCATTTTTTAAAGTACAAATTTATTACTGCAGAATTTTAACAAATTTTAGTTATAATTACATTTTCAATTATTCATATGTTTCAATCTTGATAGTATTTTTTAAATATATTAAGTTAATGTAATATGCAAAAGTTTGATTCATTTGCAAAGATATCAGCAAATATCAATTTCGATGAATTTCACACTTTTAGCTACTTAACAAATTTTATAAAACTATACAAAATTATAGAAAATTGTCATTTTAATCAGTTATTCATGTATCGAAATGTTTTTCATTAAGTTTTTGTTGAAAATTTAAAACTTTTAATGTTCATTTTTGTTTACAGATTTTTCATATTTAAACTAAAAGAAAATACATCGAACGAAACGGTGGTTTATAGAATCAAAAATGAACTTTAGCCAATCAAAAATTATTTTCGCTTTGTTTATTGCTTCAACAGCTTTTATCTTAACGAGTTCAATGCATTTGGATCCATTAATAGCAACATCAGATAATGATGATGTATGTTAAGTTCAAATTTTTATTACATATTTATATGTTCTAATTATTTGAGATATCTTAGTGATATATCATTGCAAATGTACTTAAGTAAATCAATTCATTATTACATTATTTTTTCCCTGTTAAAATTATATCACGCAATATATTCATGTAAACGTAGTCGAACAGAGTTAAAATGAAATTGCAGGTCAATTAAACGTATGCCTGAAGAGAAATGAATTTTGGTTGAGAAAAATTGTTAAACAAATAAGCTCATTCTTAATAAGTTGTAATTTTATAAATTATTAGCTTTGTCAATTAATTACTTAATGAATTACTATTGATCGAATGATCTTTGAATGATTTAATAAAACTTTTTGATTTAATAAAAAATGACTTAATAAAACCAAAATTAAAAATTATTTATAAAATTGAAGAATTTTTAGTGCTTATTCTTTATTTAATCATAATTATTGCTTGTAAGTTCTTTAGAAAAAAAAAAAGAACGATTATTTGGTTCGAAAATAATAAGTTATACAAATGGTCAATAATAAATTCACAGAGAAGCAATAAATAGTTAATAATTACTTATTTATAATAAATTACTGCTTCATTTAATAAACGTTCATTATATTCAGTTTACTAATGATGAAAAAATCAAAAAATAACATAGTAATGAAATCAGTTATTGAGAATATTATAAGAAAGTTTTTATTTAAAATAGTAATAAATAGAATATTTTGTTCAATGCTATCAATGGTGACAGATATTATTAGAAATTATTAAGTGGAATAAGAAATGAAAACTGTAGTGTTATGTTTAATGATATAATTAGGTTATTAAGCGTACTGTATATAAAGAGAAAAGTAAAATAGAAACAAAAATAATAAAACAAAGGAAAAAAAAACAAAAATTGAATTAACTTTAGGATATTTTTTAGTTTCTATAATACCTTTTGGCATATTGAAGAAAAATATCTGTCATAGTGCTTTGGAATATCAAAATTTATAAATTATTTCAGGATGATTTCATTAGAACATTACGTGTACCCAATGCTAAATGGATGAGATTTGGGAAAAGATTGCCCAATGCGAAATGGATGCGTTTTGGTAAAAGGGCGCAAACTGCTAAATGGATGAGATTTGGAAAACGTAACGATGATTTCTACGATTATTAATAAAGAAAAAGAAAACATTGTATTTCGTTTTTTTTTTTCTTTTTTTTTTTTTTTGTAGTATTATAAAACATTTTGTTACAATTTAATTAATTTGCTATCGTAAAACTAAGTTTTTTTTTTTTTTTTTCATGGAAAGATTTTAAGAAAGCAAATTTTTTAAACTGTTCGATAGCGATAATGATAATAATATGAGAATATTTATTTATTATTTGCTGTATCATATTTGTTTACTGTAATATGTAATGATTCCATTTTTTTGGCTTTTTTTTATGTAGAAGTTTAACGTAAACAAAAGTAAAAATGTTGCAAAGATTAGTTCATTGTTAATATGAAAATAATTTTTTTTAAATGATTTTATAATCTTTTGGTATAAAATGTTGACAGAGCAATTAACATTTTCATCTTGCAAAATTTGCATAAAATTGAAAATTATTGAAGAATATAAGCATTTTTCAACCTGAAATAACTGTTATATGCTGAAGCTTTGGCAGTATTTGGATTTCAGACTTTTCGATTAAGCTATTCTAATCATTTCCACTTCACTTTTACTCAATTAAGCCATTCTAACTAAGACAATCGATACATGAAGCACAGTTACAATAAGGTAAACAATTACAAAATTGTGGAATAAAAAAGAAAGAAAAAGAGGAAAAATAAAAACGAAATTTTAGAAATTACAATGAAAATCAAACTTCTGTCATAAACGCATGATCGACAAGAGTAAGCTATAGTGAAAACTCCTAAATTGAAATTTGATTAAGAATTCAATAATTCGAGGATTAGATGATAAAATACATAAATAATAAGTGAATAATAAATAATTGAATTGCAGTTGCACAGATAACAAATAGTCGAATAGTGCATAAATCATAAATAGTTATAAATAGTTGAATTACAGTTGTAAATTGATTATAGATATCATATCATATCATTGCTGTATATCATAATCTAGTTGATATCTGTTGATCGATAATACTCTACTGATAAAGTGTGGAAGATAAGAGAACATTAGTTTGTGATAAGATTAAAAAAGATTATGATAGTATGAAATAAGACCAAAGAGATTTCATAAAATTGAACAATTCATAGCACAAACAATACATTTATTTCCATTAAAATTTTTAAAATACTAAAATATTTCGTTACGTATTATCATTCAAAGAATAATGATAATTAATACAGTGATCAATCAATCAATCAATTGATTGATTGATATTATCATTGTGAAACAAATAGATCAATCATTATTGCATTCATGAATATTTTTAAGACGTAAATTAATGAGAAAAATTTGTTTGATCAGAATTTGCGTGTTCTTTTTATTGAAACTTTTCACTCATTTCAATTTATTTTATCGCACACAACATGTCATTTTGCGCCCCACCCATTTGTCGCATTATGCAAAAGTAACAATAAAGAAGCCAAAATGCTAAAATAATCTCTTAAAGTAAGTTGTTTTCTCCTCAATTCTTATCCTTTTTTATCGTACGAAACTCAATTTTTGTTTTCTGAGTGTAATTGAATTTCTTTTTTCCGATCTTTGCTGTTTAAAAAAAAAATCGGTCTTTAACAAACTGTCAAAGACCGATTTTTTTTTTCTTGTATTGTTTGCTTTCCACTAGAATACATTATATTCCTTACTCTCATTCCTGTCTGTTATAGTTAATATGTGTTTTAACATATATAAAAACCTAATTAGCATATTTTCCTCTTTCTATCTTTTCCTTTGTGAATTTTTCTCTGACATATGGCGGTGTTGTCCACTTATTGATTGAATATTGTGTGATTTCTCTCTTTTTTTTTTCTTTTTTTAACGATTGTAACCTTTGTTATATATGATTAACTTTTGAAACTTTTGTTATGTATAATTAATTTTCGAGAGATTACAAAATTATCATTATAATAATGCTATTGTAAAAGATTATTACAAAGGAGTGATTATTCCGCCAGTTTTATTACATTTTCGTCATTGAGGTAGAGAATTGGTTGATTCGATTTCTATCTGGTTATAATTTTTCTCACAAAATTTATGTTCTGATACTGTTTTTTTATTCATCTAGATTTCATTTCATTTTTATTTATATTAACGAATTTTTGCATACTTTTTTTTTTCCTATATGAGAAGCAATTTTCAACAATTATGTCAAACTTTATTAAATTTTATCTTTTCATTGTTTTCGTTCTGGATTTTTTTCTTTCTAATTTACAAATAAGGATTTTGTTAAATAAACAGAAATAAAATTTTCAAATAATTAGCATATTTCAAAATTAGTTTTTTGGTAACACTGTACTGAAAGAGGAATTTATCTTACTGAATGAAATATTGGATTCTAATTTATTCTTCTAAGTCTCAGTTTTTGCTATATATTTTACATGGGATCAAATTGCTGTTTATTAATTTATCATTGATTAATTATTAAGAATTATAATATGGAATCGATTCAGTTATGTGATAGATAGAATATTTGACTCATGGAATAGAAGTATAGTAGAAAAGATTTAATGATGTCGATGACAAAAGTACTGATTAGAAATTGATAATAAATTGAGAGTAGCTTTATTTGTTTGGAGATGACAATTGTTCTGAAAGATATGAAAAAAGCATGCTAAGAATTTGAAATCCGGAAGAGTGAGTTTGATAAGAAAACATGCGAAAACAAAGATGAAATTTCATTGTGAAAATGAATTAAAGGATAATAGGATTTGAGAAATAGTTATTGAATGATGTGTACTATATTACTATAGTATGAATGGATGATTCTTTTCCGGTTATATTTGTTGCTGACCAAAATATCAAATGAAAATAATATTTCTCAATGCGAATAAAATGTTTTATATAAAGAAAGATGTTTAATTAGTTGAAATATTGAGTATGATTAATTATTTGCTTAACGTTTCGTTCATTTAACTTTGCTGGTTATTGATGAGTTTTGCATTGTTTGATCGCTTAATGTGAGTAAACTTTTCTTCTTTTTTGGTTAGTGGTCATTGTCTCATTTTATTTAGCTATTGTAAATCCGTAGATTTCAGCTTACGCTTAAAAAAATGTGTTTAAAATGTACAACATTTATCTATTTACTTTGAATTTATTAAAAGAAAGTTTATATATCTTTTTCAGGTCATTTTCAAAAAACAAAAAAAAAAAAAGTTCGTTGCTTTTCTTCTTAGCGTCCGCTATATTTGAGTGTGTGGAAGGAGAATTGCCTGGAGCGAAAATGTCAACATTAGATGATTTGAAGATTCGCATTGTTGCGGTGATTGGTTCAGAAAAAAATGGATGCACTGCGAATCATTTGTATCAGATATACAAGTATTTTTTTTAATTATTAATTTTTAGACAAATGCGCACATTTGTTTTGGTTAATTTTATTTGACTTTAGAATAATAATTATGAAGTGAATATTTGTTTAAATGTTTTTCCGACAAGAAAAATTAAAATATCACATTTGGTTAGAAGGTCTGATTTGCATTTGGAATCGCATCATTATTTCAAATTTGAAAAAAAAGGAAAAAACAAGAAAGAAACAAGAAAAAAGAAAGTTTATTAGATAAGGACAGTAAAATTTTGATACAGATAGTTCAAGTAAATATTTATTCAAATAAACATTTATGAGAGTTTTGATGAGTGATGAAGGATTAAGATTACAGAGTTACTTATTACAACCATAATCTTTTGTTCCTTGTTTCTGTGTATTTTTTATACTTATGTTTAATATATTAGAATTTTTCCTTTTTTTTAAAAAAAAAAAAATCAGATTATGGTCAGGGATATGTATGGCAAAGGTTTGCATCCGGAAGAATATGGCTTTGAGGATTTGGATTCACTTCTTGTTTCACCAGCTATGCAAGGCGAAGGTGGAATTGTGTATGAAAATGGGCGATATTTCGCAGCTGGGGATAAAAATACTAAAAAAATGTTAGATCTTGTCCGCAATACAAAGTCAAAATCTCGAAATCTCAAAACAGGGCGAAGATGTAATGCTGCAAAATCTTCGACATTTATGAAAAGTATGTGACATTTTCTTTTCCGACTTTTTCCCTGATTTGTATATATTTCATATGATTACTCATCTCGAGTTTTTAACACTTCTGTGAGTTATTTCTTGAAGTTTTAATTGATGTATGACAAATTCCTTCATGATGTCTTTACGAAATAATTTAGGAGAATTTCGACCGGTTGCACCAGCTTATTCTAACTGTATTAAAGCTGAAAGTTCGAAATTGCCTAAGTGGTTTCAGAACGAAGCTATTTCGATAGAAAAAACGGCAACGAAATTCCAAGAAAATTCAGACAGCACTTTAAAAAATATACCTCAATCAAATCTCAAAGCAAAATTCTATAAAAAGTCTGTGATATCGGTTACATCGCTAGTTAAGGAATCAAATTTTGTTATTGTTAAGCCTTCTGTGACTATTTCCGGTTTACTTCTGATGCTTCTAACTATAAATTGGTTTGATTTATTGAATTCAAGCAATCAGTTCGTAACAGAGTTAATGTCTTCAAGCAGTTGATTGACAAAGGTCACTCAAAATCGGGTAAGCCAGTATCATACTTTACAATGAAGCCCAGAACGAGAGTTATCCAATCAGTTCTAGTGGATTTAATTGATATTTACTTGATAGTTTAATAGTCCAGTGTTTAGGCATATGCAGTCTTCTTGTGTTTCTGAACACCAAAAGTTAGAACTAATTACACCTATGCAAACTTCGGACAATAATCAACCATTATACAATCAGCGAAATTGTGATTACGATAATCATTCCGTCGCATCAGCTTCAGGTCACTTCATTTTAATTTATCTAAACTGCACTGTTTGATTAGTTTCTTTAATCTGTCATTGAGCGTTATTAAAGTTGAAATGGGTGTAAATTTGTTAAGATTAAAAAGATGTTTTTTTTTTTTAATTTACTGTTAAGAGTAGAAATTTGATAATTCATGCTTATTCCATAGAGCATTTCATGAAAAACATTCATTCCATTACTTTTTGTAGAATATTTTTTTGGTAATAAATTCCATTTTTTTGATTTGAAAGTAATTTCTAATATATTCAGGGATCCAGCCACAATCGCTTGTGAATAAAATTAAAGAAAATGGAGTCTTGAAATCTCAAAAGGTCTTTATTTAGGCTGTTTATTCAAATTTTTTTTTATTTAGCTATTAAAGATTCAAAAAAAAAAAATCGTTGTGGACATTTGGACAGACAGTCCTTATTCGATGAACTTTTATTTACTTGGATCACTTACTTAAATTTGTCGTAAAACTTCTATGTTTCTTAATCATTTGAAAGTTTTTAAAATGAACAATGTGATATGATTCTGCATTTCATAGCTTTAACTGTTACTACACTTACCACAGTAAAATAGTGAACTATTGAACATGAATTTCATTCTAATTTGACAGCTACGAAATAGAATTTTAATTACCCTTACACTTAAGCTTAAAATTTTGATTTTTGAAACTGAAATTTATTAGAGATTGAACAGTTTTTTTTTTTCCTTTTTATTTTAGGGTAGAAAGCGACTGATAAAACTCATTGAACTAAATGGCGGTGAAATAAAATTTTCGGAAATGAAAAAATCATATTTATGTTCTTTTGATGTTTCTCTTAACAATACTGAGGTTATCATTTTTATTCTTGTACACCTAGCAGTTATTACAGTTTGTGAAGTATTCAGGAATAAATTTGGGTGCAGTTATCATGTCGAATGCACTGTTTTAATAAATCAACTAATACGTTTTCCTTTTTTCAGATCTGTCGCTTATTTAATACGAAAGAAGAAGAAATTCAAAACCTTTATGAATTTCTCAAAAAGCGTCTATATAACGATGTTCTGGTAACAAAATGTGAAGATGATGATCTTTTGCTAAGAGTTATTAACGACGAGAACGATAGTGATGGTTAGTTACAACTCATTAAATATTTAATCTAATAGCATTTGACATGACAGAAAAATAAAAATCGTGCTGAGGCGTTTAAAATGCTATGAATAAATGATTAAGTAGCGAAGTTTGAAGTTGAAATAATCATTTACATTATGTAAGGTATAATTATTTAAAAATTATTTAAACCGGAGATTTGATTCAGTTTTATGTGGATTTTATATACTTTATTTATTATAATAAGAGGGAGAGAGAAAGAAGGAGAAAGAAATATGGTGAATTCCATACAGTCCTAAATATTACAATCTAAAAAAATTTGTTAGGTAATGATGAAATCTTGTAATTTATTTTTCTATTTGTAACTTATTTTTCTAAGACTCTATTTTTAAAAGTTTTCATGTTTAGTTCTCACTTGTTAAAAGTTTATGTGAAAAAAAAAAATATTCCTGACATATGCATATCTCTAACTATTTACTAATTTTTCTTGCAGAATTTGAAACTATTCTCGGTTCTGTCAATGTTATGCCTCAAAAATCATTGTCACTTGCGGTAAATGTTTCATTTTTACTTTTTCATTAATCGCTTTCTTCTGCTCTTTCCCTTTTTTACATTTTTCTTTTTTTTCTCCCCATCTCAATTTCCATTTCATATTTCTTTAAGAAATTTTTGTGAACATAAAATATTCTTGGGCTATAATGGATTTCTAATGACGAGAACAGTTCTATACAATTTATTTCACACTTCTACTGTTTAATATTTATCATATGTGAGGTACTTTTATTTTCCAGAATTTTTTATTATGATATTCCCGTGCATTTCGTTTTTTTTTTTTTCTTTTTATAGTCAACTTTGGTGCAACGGGATATTTTTCACAGTTCATTCAGTCAAAATCAACATCGACTTGATTTTCTGGATCGTTCTGTTGTTCCTATTTCTTCATTACCGAAAACTGGTACTGCTGATAATAGCTGTCTTCAAGATTCACAGTTTCCTGTTCCAAATGTTAATCTATCGGAGAAAGTTAGTTTAAATCATAGATGATTCGATCAGCGGATTGTTAATTAGGCAGAATTTGAATAGTTGGAAAGTGGACATTATTTAGAAATTTGAGTAAGTAATTGAAAAAGATACTTAGATTTGCTTTACAGTTTTTTTCTTTTTCTTTTTTTTTTTTTTTTTTTTTTTTTTTTTAATTTAGAAAACACAGTGATCGTTTTGATTTCAATTTTTTCACACATTAAAGAAATATTTTTTTGAATATAAGATCTTTTATTTTTTGATACTATTTAACGCATGAATTTACATTTGTCTTGTAGGCGAATGATAGATATAAACACGGGAATGGATCAACATTGGCTTCGGTGATAAGGACAAAAGATGATTATTTGCCGTATAAGGTTTTGATCGATAAAGTGCTCCGTTTTGTCCGAACAAAGGGTTCCTTCAAGGTATTTTTTCATTCATTATGCAAATACAGGAATTGATTTGTTCCTCTTTCAAGAAACAAATTTAAATGCTTAGACATTTCAGAAGCAATAAAAAAAACGGATTTTTTGGATGAAAATAATTATTCTGAGTACAATTTGGATAAAATTTACTTTTTCCTTCTCTCACATATATACACTATATGCTTTCTCTTTTAGGTTTCTGATTTGTCGAGGATTTTTTATGAAGAGGATGGTAGAAACATTGATCCTAGGAATTATCCGGAAGGTACATGGGAGAATATAATACAAAAATTGCTTTCATCTGGTAGATATCCAGAACTCACAGTTCGAGATGGTGTTAGTTATTTCATTAGTTCGAATTTCGATACTTGAAAATATTTTTTTTTTTTTTTTAATTGAGGTTATTTCTTCACTAACATAGTCTAACTTTTAATCCTCAAAAAAATTTTTATTTATTGGATAGAATTTTGGATACAATTTTCGGTACAGATTTGTGGATACGGCCAACGTTTTGTTTTTATTTTAAGCAGTTATCAACTTTTATGATTATTCTAGATACTTCATCTCCGGAAACACTTTGAAAAATCAGCTTTCCCATCTGTTCAATCATCGAGTAATTGTGCAAATAGTGATCGAAATGAATGCGAACGACCAGTGCCTCCAAGATCCATTGATAACAGTGTACCAGCCGCTATAGTTGGTCTTATTTATTTTCTTATTGTCACCTAATTTTATCTTTTTAATTTTGAATTCCTAAATCAAAAATTCAATTTTTTTTATAGATCTATGACCTGCTGCTGGAGTCAGGAAGGCCTTTACATCAGAAAGAATTACTCGAAAAACTGAGTGCAAGAGGCATTAATATGAACATTTGCCAGCTTACAATTAAGCTGATAACGAAGTTCAAAAATGTCTTTTGCTGCAAATTTGATTTGGCAGGTACTATAAGTTTAAATAATCATTACAGAAATGATATAAAGATTTGAAACTGTAGAAAATCTAATGTTTTTATATCGGAAAAAATTGAAATAATGAGTTATGAAACTAAGTAGATGAGTTTTTGAGATATATATTCACTGTTTATGTATAAACTAAAATAAGTTAAAATATATGTGGAATGATTTTTGCTTTACAAAAATTGCATTAGGATATGTGCATAAATGAAAAACTGATGTATTGTGATATTTTTCAAAACAGGAATTGTGATATCATTAATGGATGATACTAAAATACCTGAAGAGCTAGCCCTATCGCCTTGTTTACCATCATTCACTGAATCAGTTAAAATAGTCAATCATGTTATGTCGGATTATTGTTCCACTACTGAATCAGCTGGCAATATTTTTAAACCAGTTAGTTTTATCTTCATTGTTGTATAAAGTAGTGGAAACTAATTCCCAGATTATTTTTTTAGAACAATTTCACTTTAACAGTATGAATACAATTTGTTTTTCAATGATTGAGTCCCAGATAATTATTCAACCATTACTATGCATTTCTCAATGTAAGAGAACTTTATGACTCTGGAATAATTTGTTGAGACGAAACCAGATAATGCACTGTCATTACTTATTAATATAAAATAGTTGAAATGTTTTTCTTTTCTGAACTTTTAAACTTGACAACTGATGGGAATGATAACAAAAGGTGGGAAAAAGCGGGTTGTGATTTTTTTTTTCTTTTTTGAAACTATTTTTATCGTTTATTTAGGTTTTATTGATAGATATTGCTTTGATTAGAGAACCACTGGAGAGATTTCGAATCCAGGCATTCTTTAGACTTCGCTCTTTTGAACGCGAATATAATTTATTCGAAAAAAAAATGTGGTAAGTGTGTTCATGTAGTTATCAAACTATCGCTTTTGGACTTTAACTTACATCGAAGTAACTTAAGACGAGACAAGTAAATCTTTATTCAATAATGACTTTATTATTTGAAATAAAAGTTCGTATAAACATACAACGGTTGTAGTCTTTTAGCCTTCACTACCTATCTGTTGTTCCGGAAGAGGAATATGCTATAAAGAAACCCATAAAAGATTGTATTTACGCTTTCCATGATATCAAAAATGATCGGGTTTATCGAGTCCAGTGCATGGGTGACGTTAGTCACTCTAATGCTGTGTCGGTTTATTTAATTGATCAAATGCGCTATCAAGAGGTACCAATCAGTCAATTGAGAAAGGTTTGAAATAGTTTTTTTTTTTTTTTCCGAAATTTGTGGTTAGAATTACAATTAACAGATTTTGCAAAGTATTAAGAAGAGCATTGTAGAGTGTTTGCCTGAAATTTCGTTTGATTCCTGGTGATTCAAGTTCAAAGATTTAAGATTGTAAAGGCTCGCAATAAATCTGCTAATGTTCTACTCAATTTTTGCGTCATATCTTTACAGATAATTATTAAGCCATAAAAAATATAAGCTGGGAGCCTTTTGTGATATGTGTAAAGTTGGTTTATAGATTCAAAACTGTTTACAAAATATAATTTTTTAAACCTAACAATTTATTGATTGATTTCAAATTAGATGCAATATTTTTAGCTGACGAGTGATTATACAAGACCATCATACGGTGTGGTCGCAAAAACTGCACCATTTATGATTGCACCTGGAAGAAAGGTGGAAAATTAAAATTTTTACTTATAATTTATGCTTTATTCTCAGTGGAAATTTGAGTACTGTCGTCTGAATTGAAGTCAGTTTTATATTTTATTAAGCAATCGAAGAGAAAATTTTCATAATTCTATCCTTCAAGTGGCATTCATAATTAGAACTCATACAATATTGTTTAGAGGAAAACAAATACTATTTTTTGTTGCTTTAGAATGAATTCGATAAATATTTCTCTTTGGTATATTCAAAGCTTCTTGGAGGTACTACTCTGGATATCCAAGCCGATGTGGTTTCTGAGGTAAGCTCTCAGCCTAATTTTATTTGAAGTGAATGAAGATTATATGTGTAATCAGAAGTATTTTTTTTTAGGAATTGAAATAAGGAATCAAATATGTTTATGTTTTCGTTTATGAACATTCCAATTTCTTAGTTTATTTTTGAATTCTCAGAGTTTATTTTCCTTTTAGCCATCGAAAAATCTTTTCGAATTGAAGCAACTGTACAGCGAAGTACACAGTCTAAATGTGCCAGCAATGTTTTTGCGACAGAATTTGATTCAAGTGTTTCCTTCAAACTTATATTAAGGTTATACGTTATAGTACATGACTATCAATTTTAATTTTTAAATGAGGAAAATATTTTTAGATCTGTTGTGATGAATTAAGAAATACATGTAGTTTGATTATTGTTTTAGGATAAGTTGGTGAATTAAGTGTAGTTAAAACAATTGTTTTTTAATGTTTAAATGATCTAAAAATGTATAAAGTCAAATTCTTTTGAATTTTTTGAAATTTTCATAGAGATTTTGATTACTATTTATTACACTTCTCAAAGAGGTAAATGACAGTAAAAGATGACATGAACTAAAAACTGAATGATTCGATTCAAATGACAAAAATCACAATGATTTCGATTGTGTTTCGTCAAAATTGGTGATTTATGGATGGTAAATTTGTTGCTTTATATTTTATTGTTTTGTGATAAGTATTCCAAACATCTGAAAATTCTGCATAAAGCAACTACTGTGATATGGTGAATTTCACTTCATTTCAAATCTTTTGTTGTATATAATTGACTAATCATGAATTTTCGAGCAGTAAATTAACTTAGCAAGAATAATTCCAAAAAGTAATGATGGATATAAAACTGTTTTTCCAACTTTAAAGTTGTTTTAATTGCAATGATTACAAAAACAAATAATAAAAAAGGCAACATAAACAAAATCATCTACTGTCCATTTCATTTGTCATCTCTTAATTTCCTTCAGTGATTATGATGATTCTGAAATGAGAAGTATTATCTTTACCAAAAATGTTTACTTTATTGTTGTCAATACAGTGTATTGTTAACTTTTTATCTACCTTGATGAAAATTGAAGTCGCTCTGTATTACATGAATTATTCCTAGAGACCAGGCCTTATTATTGTCACAATAAAAGCATATTTTTCGGGTCAAAATCATACCTGATCTTGATATACCACTGAATACCTAAATATTTTATAAGAAACCGAAGTTTCATACATTCTTTTAATGAATGTTACCGATAAAATATTTCGGTAAATTTTGAGATCCTTTGAGCTATCATTTTGAAAAGATTACTGTAAATATTCTTCGAGTATCTTAATATATTCAAGGGAAAGTGAAGGAATATTGCAAAAAAGTTATGGGATTGTACGTAAATAAAATTGTAATGAAATTGTTGAATTCAATTCAGAAACAAGAGTTCAGAGACATGCAATAAACTGTCGAATCAATAACAGTTAACATTAATCTGAACAAAAACTAATTAAAGAAGTGATGAGCATTCTAAAATTTTTACGAAGAATTAATCATATAATAAATTATCACAATATTTCCATCTAAATAGGTTGATTGTCGTAAATATTAAATTTATGTACGACTTGTCTGTGTCACCCGTCACATGTGTATTGTAACTCATACGTGCTAATATAAGCATCAAAGATGAAAGTTCCAAGAGTTTTCCAAAAATCTACTGATTCTCTCATTGCCTTACCTATACCTAAAGCTAACAGTAATTAATAAATCCTGAGAAATAAGTATTAAAAATCTGTAATACTTGAACCACTTACGCAGTCGGTCCTAAAGCTTTTGCTACTGTTTCCTGGCGGAGGGACCGCTCTACTTCTACTAGCCACTCAGCTTCATCATCACTTTTAGGCCTAAGATCCACTTTACCTCTTCCTTAAATTTCGATTTGTGAAGTTCGAATCCCCTCCTCCCTCCATTTTTATTACTTCTTCAACCCGACTCTTCTCCATTTCTTGCTGACATTTCACTTTTCGTGTTCTGTCAACATCCTTTCCAATCTTGCCGATAGTAATTATTGTACAATGTTTAAAACTTTGATAGTTCACTACTTGTTGGTATTTTTAGCAAAATTTTAAAGTATCTCTTAGAATTTTTTTTTTTTTTTTCGAAGCTTAACAGTATACACTTGAAGTCAATTTATGAAATAAAGGAAAAGATGAATTACTTATTCTTTTTCTACCATAAATTCATATAATGTTCCTTAGTCAGAGAATCGCCTCGCTGTATTTGAATTTCCGCAGACAGCGATTACATTTTTAGAGGAAAGATCTGAGAATGTATCATTGTAATGAAGACATGAAATTGAAGTGAAACTGTGGAAAATTAAATATATGTGTATTTAAATAGAGAAATTTAATAGCAAAATAATGCATCGTAGTTAGTTGGTAATCTCATTATAATCTCTCAAATCTGCTTGCATTCTTTTCGTAACATAATATTCTGCATATTAAAATTTGAATTTTGGATATTTTCTTTGTAGGAAATTTCTTGCAAATTCATTCAAATTATTAGCATAAAATTTGAATGAGTACTACAATATTTTTACTAAATAATATTACGCCTAATCATAATGATGTGACACTTTTACTAGCAATATCTTCAGGAAATTTTCACCAACTAACTTTTTAGCACAATTATTTTCTCGCGATTTATAAAAATTTGATTTTATGACTACGATATTTTTAGTATTTTTAGGAATTTAATAATCACTTATTTATTCGAGCGTAATTTTTTGTGATATATTCCAAAACAGAAAAAAATGTTCAAAAAATTCAAGATTTTAAAGTAGTCAGCAATACAAGCTAGTGAATTACTTGCAATAACATATGATCTTACGCTGAATGACCTAATCATCTTTCATGCATTTTGAGAAATTCCGCTTCTGCGCATTCACTCATCTCATTTCACAGAAATATTCGCATCAATATGAAATCACAATGAGTTCTTGTTCACAAGCGCTTCTAATAAAATACATCAAATTTTAAATGATGCAAAGTATCGAAATCGAATTCCAGAAATAAATTTTAAGAAAACGAACTTTTGATAACAGATTTTTCTCACATTGCATTTATCTCTTTAATAAAAATTTCAGTTAATATTAGTACTTAATTGTTCTCACACGGAATGCTTAAGTATATCGATGATCTATTTGTTTTCCTTTTTTTATAAGTTATCTCACGGTGATTTTCAGAAATTTGCCTTTTCTCTTGCTGATATTTTCAAGGAAATGCAGAAATTGCTTATAATCTTTCAGCAAAACTTAATTTCATTCAGTCTTACAGCACCAAAATTGGCTTTCTCTTTCCTGAAAAACAAGCCCTGATACCTTCAGATATCATATCTTTTCAAAAGTTAATGGAATAGATTAAATTACAATCGTAATCATCTCAAATTAAGAAGTAATGAATTACAGCAGCCATAAAAGTGAGCACTTAATTCAGTAGTTAAATTCTTGCTTCCAATTATGTTTCCTTTTTCGCTTCCATTTAGTCATTTCATTTCTTACTTTGAAATTAGAATTCACAATAATTTAAAGTGTTTGCATTTTGGACATTTAAAATATTAGTTGAAGCCAAAGCTCTTTCTAGTAATTTCCGAATTGAAAACAACGAGAAAGATTATTCACTGATAATATGATTGTTCGTTATTACTGTATTGTTGCATTATTTCTAATATCACCTTTAAACTGCCACGAAGGAAATGCGACAAATGTAATTGACATAAGAGACGAGCAGCACATAACTATAAAATATACAGTAGTTGCGGTGCTTTCTTTCTTCTTGCTATACGGTACTATTAGCAATATTCTGATGGTTACTGTATGCTACAGTCGAGACAATCATTACAGTCGCCCATTCATCCTTATCGTATGCCAAATTATTTTTTCTAATTTGATAAGCTTTATTCCATATTTGACTGTCCTATTACCTGAAATATTACTGAATAAAAAATATGGTAAGTTACTTTATTTTCATAATTGTTTAACAGGAACACTCACAAATTTATTAGTGAGGCAATTTTATCGTTGATGAAGCGATGCATCTAATTTTTAATGTTATTTTAGAATTCTGATTTTCATTTAAATAACAAACCATTATTATGGATTGTGCCTTAGCTTTAAAAACAAGATGGATCAACCGCGCATCCTGCACAATCTATGTTTATTCATCTTTCGTCATGTTACACTTTTCATTTGTGTTGACGCTGAATCGCTTCGTAGCCATAGTTTTACCGAAATTCAATGCATTTTTCGAATCAGGAAAGCTGTACTTCTTATTCCTCTTCGTATGGTTGACAGCTTTCGGTATGACATTTAACTTTTGCGCAATGTCCTAAATTATTTCATTCTTAAACAGACATGGAGACTGACGACTGCTCAGTTTTGTCCAGTTTTAACGGCTGTTACTTTTATTGCCATTTTGAATAATGCTTAATCTGACAATTATAAACAATTATAAACAAATTGCAGATTAATGATCTGTTTATTTATATTGAATTTGCAAATTTCTAGCAATTTCATCTGCAAATTTTTATTACTGCACGAGAAATTTCGAAGTTTCAACCTTATATTGGGTGCATGATTGCACAAAACAATCTGGTGGAAAACTTTTTTTTAAGTCAGATTAAGTTTTAAATTTTTATCATTTATGTCAAAATTATCGTTAAGTCAGATTAAAGCACCGTTTTAATTTTGAAGTCAAAAATTTTTAAATCCAGTTTCAATTTAATCAAATATTAAAACTTTACATTTCAAGCAATATAATTAAAACATTTATCTCTTTTGATATAACTATAACATTAAATTGATTAAAATGAACATTGTAATTCCTATTTCACAATGATGTGTGCAAGGTTGATTGGAACTTACTAATAATCTCCAATCGGTTTTCAGTTTTATCAAATTTTGGGCAATATTTCTATCTGTTACAATGCTTGCAATGTACTCAGTAATCATTCGCAATATACGCCATCGTTTTGCATCAATTAATAACGAAACACAAAGTTGGTGATAACAAATCGATTTCTTCCTTATCACATAAGCTTATCATATGACCAAAACTTTTCCATTTCTTTATTATACTGGGAACAAGTTTTAGCTATTTTAAATTTACTAGATTTTGTAAAATTCATTTGAGTATTACTAAGTCTTAGTTTATTGCTTATTTCGAATTAAATATGGAAATTTTAAAAACTTTTGCAATTATTCTTTAATTATGGGACGAATACGTTGGAAATTACCACATACGAACGATAAATATGGAATGAATACGTTGGAAATTACCAAATACGAACGATCAATGTTAATTCAAGCAGCATTAACTTCTGGTGGATTAATAATTGGAGCCATATCATTCGGCTTTCTGTCAAACATTTTGATACAGATTTTTGATCAAAAAGCTTTATTACCAATAAACATTTCCCACTGCTCATATATCCTTTTATATCGTTGTACATTGCCAACAGCTTTTTTCTTAACGAACCAACGTGCTCGTAAATATCTATGTTCACGTTTGAGAAATAATGTTGTAAAACCTATCCCACGTCTAACAAAATAAGTTATCGGAGAAAGATAGCGTACATGAACAACTTTAGAGCATTTACTTCTTGACATGATTCAAATATCAATGATAGCTTTTTCTTTTTTTTTTTTTTTTTGCAAACTTGAAATGATGATGAAAACGATACATCTGCTACCTATATACACCAACTTTATTTATTAGCTATATATGTAAAATATTTTTCATAGATGTTATCAAAAATCGAATAATGTATAAAATGCAAGAGTAATCTTTTATTACGATTAAATCGACGAAATATTTCTGTAAAATGTTGAAAGAGCTTCGAAATAAATTCGCTTACATTCAATGCATCTCACTTGAATCACTTTGTCACTCACATAATCAGTGTCACTCATTTATGTCAACCATTAAGTTAAATCTGAAGAATTGTCCACTATAGTGAATTTGACCAGCTAGGAAATGCATATGAATGGGAATCTCTTATGTGATGAAACCGATAGTTTTTTGTAGAAAAGTTAAGTAGTCTCAAATGAAAAAAAAAATCACCTTCATATGTCAAAATAATGATAATGATCGAATGAAAAGAGAAAAATTCTCAAAAATTTTCAAATAAAAAGTTAAGCTATCATTAATGCATTACCGTATGCCAATAATATTTTCAATGCTTCATTATCTATGCGAAATGTTTCGCTTATACTTCCGGATGAGTTCAGATATGGCTGCACTATATTTCCGGTTGTAACTTGACGTGGAGAACTCAGATCAAATAGGTTATAAGAACCAAAGACATCAATTAATGTTATCTAGGCTTAACCTTCCTTTCTTCTGCCCATTTCACTTGTATTTCAATTATCCTTTAATACTATGAAGAAATGAAGAAAACTGTAAGAAAATATAAACTGAAAAAATGAGAACATACTTTGAGAGATGAAAATAGAGAAAATAATGGTAGCATTGTGAGTCTGCTTGAAATGTCAGTCTTGAAAGAGTTCCTGAACTGAAAAAAAAATGCAAACTCAACATTCCTTTAAAATACATATTGATATAAATACATGCCGACTGTCATCGCAAAACACTTTTATAGGTGTCATCCGAAATTACACATTCAAGAACTGTAAACATTAGATTTATTAATACTAGATTTAACTTCTTGTCCAAAAGCTATTTAATCAAACAAACCTTAATTCCACTTTGATTGCCACATCGACCAATTCGGGCAATAATGACCAGAAGCAACCCAAATAATTTGCAGTCACACCAGAAAGACTGCAAAATAGTTGGGTTGTTTCCGGAAATTGAAAGGAAAAGGGAAGCAATAAGTGAAAGTGGCATTTGCACATCATATCGCTGTAACAGTGCCCACATTTTCAAATGGAATTCAAATTAAGCACAGAGTGGTCGTTGCACCTCGGCGGTTTTGTCCAACTTGCACCATAGCTTTAAATGACGCAAAAGGGTGAACGGAATTAACGACGGTGCATGTGTTATACGGTGGGAAAATGAAAGAAGAGAATTTTGAAGGGGAAATCATTAACCAATTTAACCGGTGAACCAGAATGGGACATAGCATGTGATCACATTGTCGGTTTCAGAAGAATGAGAAAACGAATTAGCTTCTGTATCTATTGAAAAAGGTCATCAACGGTTTCTCGAATCAGTTATCAATTAAATCTCGACACACTTTTTTTTTTTTTCACATTGCTAATTTTGTATTGTTCACGGCTATCATACAAAGTAAACTTCACCGTCCTAATCTTAACGTTTTGCTCGTGCATCTCGTAAAGATATTGAAAAATTCATTGTCCAATTCATGTAGAAAAGCAATATTTTTATAAATCATAAGTTTGTTTCACGGTTTTGTCAAAATTCTTTGAGGATTTTCTTTACTTTACCATTTCCGTTGTTATTTCGCTACTTTTTTAATTTCCCAGATTTTGTTAATGACAAAAGACTCAATGAATGACAGAAAGATTCTGATTTGTCATCATTTATGCTACAAGTGTTACTATTTCTTTGTTCGACAAAATTTTGATATTATTTTTATCACCTGACAAATGTTAAGTTTAGTGATGTGAGGCATTGCCCAGTGCTTCTCCTTTCATAAAAATGAGCTTTGCTGGAAGTGAGAAATTAACTGTTGTAAACTTTGATGAAGATCTTGAGAGCTATCCAAATAAACTCTGAATTTCAAAATTCTTTATGCGACAAAAAAACCATTGGCAGAGTAACCGTCAATTGTGCATTTGTAGTGTTAATATCATAAAATTTTCCGTTTACCAAAATTAATCATTAAAAAGTTCATATTAGAATTTTCTCTTTTTTCGTTTCTTTTTTTATTTATACAATCTTTTTAGCTTTGCAAAAACTTAATTAGGAATTAATGAAATCAAAATTACTTATAAAAAATGAATTTAGTTAATAGGAAAGCCTATTGCAAACTATTTAAATCTTATTTAAATCTGCATTACAATCCTAGACATGCCTTCTTTATTGATCAAAAGAAAAGGTAAATCTTTTGTTGGAAGAATAAAACGAGACACGAAATAATAATTAAAAATTAAAATATAATATTGTTTTTTATGAATGATTACTCTAATGTGAAATAATGAAAGTAAGTAAACGTGAAGAAAAAAGATATATGAGCAGTTATTTTTGCTTCCATTTAATGTTATTAAATGTGTATGTATATGTGATAGAAAATTCAGTGATTTTCTTATAATAGTAATTTTAGAGTTAAAATGAAAAAGCTTTTAAAAAAAATATATATGAAATCTCTAACGAATCTATAAATGTATCTACAGATTCATTTATAATGATTTTATCTACAATTTCTAATGATTTTATCTACAATTTCTATAATAAATCCTCAAGAAGGGAGGTTTAATTGATGCAAGATCAAAATCCAATATTGTCATCATCCAATCCTGAAGTTATCATCGAATCCTTAAGTTAATTGGGATAGTTAAAAAAGATATAAGATAATTGGCAAGATTGTTCGGCAGTGAAAACATTTTAATTTAAATTTGAGTTTCAATTCTTTTTTTTGTAATTTGTCGGCTTTCTCTTAATATAACTTAAGAAATTCTTTTAATTTGAGCTAATTTACTTCTCATAGTGCGGCTGCTTCTCCTAACTGTTATCTAAAATGACTGGTAATCAGATCGTTAGATATTCTGCATCATTATTGCTCCTACATTGATCCAAATCTCTAATTTATTTACTCAAATCATTGCTTCGAAATTAAGTTTTTTTCAGGTTTAAAACTTATTATCACACTGATATTTATCTTTCAAGCTAGTATTAGTGGACAGGCTAAAGATGTTGGTATTTGTCTTTTTAAAAAAAATTTAAAATAATCTGAATCTAATAACGATCGTTTCAAGTTATTTTAGAAGTGATTCGGTTTTAATAAGCCAATTAAAAAATCAGGAGACAATTACATTTAATCGAATTTTCTTCTTGAAAGATTACGGAAAATGTTATCCTCATTCTCGCTTCTTTCTCTCCCTTTCTCTCTCTCAGGGAAAAAAAAAAACTTACATTGAAGTAATACTGAGAGAAAGTTAATTCTTTTCAGAGCAAGCAAACAAGACATGAACATAAATATAAAATTTATGCAAATCACAGTTTGCAGTGCAGTTATAATCCTTTCTTAAGCCGTAATTTTTTTTTTTTTAATTTACTAATATTAATTAGTTATGATCTAAAACTAATTTCAAATGATCTTAATGTCGCTCAATACTTCATTAATCTATTAACTAAATAACGAAGAACTAGTATTGTTTGAAAAGCTTAAATTTTCAATTCTCGGATTTTCTTAAAGTTTTCTTATATTCTTGAAAAAGTTTTTTTTAGTAAGTAATGATTTTAATACGGCTAAAACAAAAGCGCCAATGAAGAATGCTTATGATTTATTGAATAATATTTCCAAGCAAATTTGTCAAGAAACTAAACGGTTATGCATTTTTATTAAACATAACGCTGATGCAATTTTGTAAGTTATTTACATCATTTTTAATGCTTACAAAAAATGCTCTCCATGTTAATTAATTAATTAATTAATTATTCCCCTGCCCCCCTCTTTCCCATTTATCCATCAAATAATTTATCTTTACAAATTTTAAATTGACCTCTCACTTTTTTGTTGAGTTATTTACTAAATGATATATTTATGTATTCATTAGATTAGTTATAATTGACAATTCATCAATTCTAATTTAAAAATATGTATTTAATGAGTGATATTTGAAAAAAAAAAAAGGTTTTTTTTAGATATGGTTCAATTACTTTCCTTATTTTGAACATTATTGGTGCACTGCTTGTCGTCTTTTTGCTCAGCCTGAAAATTATGTTTGAGTTTCAAATTATATCTGAAAACATTAAGGTTATGATATTTTTAAATATTTTGAATCTTTGCTTTTATTAGAGAATTTCATAAAAGAAAAATGCTTTGATTAGAAATCTGAGAATTTCAGTTTCTGATCACAAATCTAATCAATAATTTTAGTAAATAAATAATTATTATCATCCATATAAAACATAGTAAATGCTGAAAATTATAATTTTATGATTTATAAATAGCCCAAAGGCTAATTTTTATTATAGTTAAAGAGGATCTTTTAGAAATTAAGCTTATAAATGATTAAAGTAGATTTAATTTCAAAAATCTCCAAAACAGAAAGGACTGAAATGAAATTTAAAAAGAAAAGGATTGGATTGATTTTTTATCTTTCATGTATTCAATTTCTATCAATGATTATATATTTTTCGATTTTCAGGTCTTACAAAAGGATTTAGAGAAAGTGCTAACAAAGATCAACGAAAATGTGATGTTATCTGATTCAAAATTAAATCATAATCGTTTCACTAAAGTAAACGCAACTAAACAAACATATCCGATATTACATCTATTTCGAAAACGAGAATTAAATGAGGAGGAAACTACCTGTCATACTAGTGCTTGAAGGATGTTTAATTACTGATAAGAAATTACAGATTATACTAATGATATTTCAGTAGAATAATAGAAAAATATTTAAGTGAACAAAATATTTTAACATTTAAATGTATTAATAAATAAACGAAGGTAAATTACAATTGCATTTAATTACTTGAAGTGGTGGTCGAAATGTATGCTAAAGCACCAACCATTCAAGGCTAAACTAATTTAGGATGATAAAACAAATTATTTCAAAATGTTTTATAATTCTGAAAATGAAAAGGAAAACATAAAAATCGGAATTAAAAAACAAGAACTTAAAAATGTTACGTATATAGATGTAACGAATGTTAACGATTAACAAAAAATGAAATATCTATTTTAAAAGATTATAAAATATTTCCTTAAAAATAAATATTATTGTTTTGTCATTAGCCTATCGATCGTATGTTTCTAGATTTTTGTTGAATTCAAAAAAATTTTTTGAATAGAAAACTATTAAACTTTGTTAGGAATATGACAGAACGAAAATTTGAGAATTTTTTTGAAAACTTTATTTTTATACTTTTTTATGTCTTTGGAATACTTAAAAATTTCTTTGAAAAGGAAAACAACGTCACATTATGTCACCAAATTATGAATTTTAGAATTCAAATCCTAGTTCGAATGGACATTTGTATTTTCTTGAATGCCTTTAAATGATCAGTTATTCCATTTTCTTTCTTTCAGACAATAATTTAAATTTTTCAGATTCTAATTTATTCTAAAATTATTACCAGAAAATAATAAATTTTTTTGTTTTCTTTTCTAGTAAATGCTAAAAAGATATTAAAAGAAAAAAATTGAGAAATTATTTGTTTATTGTTGTCGTTTTGCTTCTATCACAAATTTGTTTTTACCAAGAAATCAGCTTTAGAATTGCTATGGTTTTGATATTTTTTGAAGGTCTGGGTGGGTAAACGAGTCGAAATAATGTCTTCAATTTCTGTCTTATATTTATCATTTAACAGTTATAGAAAGATATGCATGCCATTAACTGCGTTTTTTTTTTTTTTTTTTAATTTTTTTTATAGAATTTTAAAGCGATTTCAGTTTTCAAAAGTTGCTGAAATTTGCGATAAATGATTCATATTATTTTCTTTCGCCCTTTTTCTTTGTTTCAATTTTCATTTCACATTTCTATCATGAAATATTTGTGAATATAAAGCACTCTCGAGTTTCGGTGAGATAAACTAATGACGAAAACATTTCACACTTAGTTAACATTCTTACTCCTAATATTTATGAGATATTTTTTTACGTCGGAGAGAAAATTTTCTTGCTAGGATATTCCCTCGCATATTGTTTTTCGTTGAGACGGTGGTCGTACAAAACGACAATAAAAAAATTAAATTATAAGTGATTCGGACAAGGGTTCAAATGGAATGAGAAATGGAAAACATTTTGGATTAAAATACAAAAAATTAAAGTTAAAAAGCAAATAATGCTGAAAGATATAATGTATACGGATATGATAATATGTAACGATTAACGGAAAATGAATTATTTATTTGAAACAATTTTCAATCATTTCCTTTTAAAAGATAAACATCATTATTTGGTTGTCATGTCGATCATATTTTGTATATGTCATCAGTTTAAAAAATTTAGTTGAATGAGAAAACTGTCAGACTTTGTTAAAAGTATGGTGGGATGAAAATATCAAGATGAAATTTGTTGAAAAAGTCTGCCATTATAGTTTGTTATGCCTTTGTACTTTCGTGCAAGGAAATAAATGTGTGATCACTGGTGGCTTGTTAATTTAAATTAATGCTTAAATTATTTGCATATATTTGTTCAGAAAGAATTGCGGAAAGCTTTTTAAATTTGTTTAGAATTTTAGCATATATCATTGAAATACAGAAATCCATCTGAAGTCGGTTGTCAGCTTTGTTTCAACGAAAAAATGAGTGCAAAACTGGATCACGAAAATGTTTCAGATCTTAGTGATTACGAGAAGGATGACAGACATTCAGCAACACCTCAAGAAGTTGTTGATAAAATTGCGAAAGGTGGTGAAGAGGTAATGGTTATTTTAATTAATCATTTAAGTTGGCTAATCGAAAAAAAAGTAAAAATATAAATATAATTTCATTAAATCCACTAGGCCAATTAATTAATAAAGCATTAAGCGTTTATTCAAATTATCTACACTAATTTTCTGATTATTAAATTACACAATATTATGGTTGGAAATAAGAAAACTGGCATGGACTCTGAAAAATCTTAACTTTTAGCTTTGAAATTTTCTTACGATTTGTTGAATTCTAAATTTTCATCAATTTAATTGATATGATAATAAGTAAGGAAGCTAACATTGTCTTAAAGCTTTTTAAAAGATGATTCTCAGCTATTGCTACTAACATATGGTAATATCTTTAGAAAATTTCCCCTTGAAAATCGTATATTCCATCATGGATTTACCGTCTTAGATGTTCGTTGCAACAGTATTAATAGTTTTGTCAACCGTTGTTAATTAATTAATTTACGATTAAATTCAGACAATTGTCGAATGGCATAATATAATCCTTAGAGAGCCGCCAAAATTTGATGCATTTTTGGAACAAGCAAATATGTTAAAAAATCGTTATCCAAATGTAATTTTATATGATCGATCACGTGTTAAACTACTTGGTGACAAATTGGGTGACGATTATTATCACGCATCATATGTTGATTCATACGACCGACCAGGTCTAGTTATTATTTGCTATAACATTTGCTTATCATGAAAATGCAATATAAACTAACTAACTAGCATTCATCTATTTGTCATAAAACTTTCAAACGATGATTCACTCCGTTACTTCTTCATTTGCTGCCTTACATTTAAACAGAAAGCCAATTTTGCACGCAAAATTTTGTATTGAATTTATTAAATTAAAATTTACAGACGGTTTTATACTTGCACAAGCACCATTTGATGAAACGACCGAATCTGATTTTTGGCGAATGATAATTCAAACAAATACAAAACTAATCGTTCTCTTAACGGATGTTAATAATCGAGAAGGAAATCGTCTAATCAAGCACTTTTGGCCAGAATCAGATGCAAATTCCCGTAATTACACAGGAGCTAATATTAAAGTAAATTATACAAAGAGCGATGCTGTAAGTTTCATTTATAATTTTTAATTCAACAGTTCATATCAATGAAATGATACAAGAAATAATGTGTTTAAGAGATACTACCAAAAATCATTATTCTAGACAGATATGACACTGATACATTGTTATTATATTCATGTTTATCGGTGATACTATTGAAAACACTGAAATAAGAAGAAATAATTAAACTAATGGAATAATTTGTTGAAAATAAAATACAAATGTATTTATTGATAAAAACTGTAACTATTTTAATGTTTTAATTTTCCAATTGAAAACAAAAGTGTAAATTTAACTTCTCCTAAAATCAATAATTTTGACTTAAAAACAGACTGCATTGTACGATTGGTACAAATTTTCGATTAGCAATATTGTCGACAAATCTATGAATACAATCACAGTAACAATGTTACAATATCGAAAATGGATATATGATAAGATTATTCCAGATAATTTATTAGAATTTCGATCCGAGGTTAGTAGTTCTTTTCTCTTCAATATTATAAGTACGATTATATTCACTTTATTTCTTTTCTACTAAAAACTGAACAGAACTCAAACTATCAAAAAAGTAATACAATTATTTTGATGTTAAATTAATTTTGACTGAAAATAATAATAGAAAATTAGGAAACCAAATTATTACTTATCATCAATTTAAGAATGCTAATAATATATTTTCCAATTCATCATAAAAAAAAGAAGAAAAATACAATTCTTAATTGTTTATGTTTTTGTTACTCGTAAGGCTGGCTAATTCAGAAATAAAAATTTTTCATGTTAAAAGATGGGAAACAAAAATGATGAAAAATGGCAATGTGGGACCGATATGTCTTTTATGTCCTACGGGCGTTCATCGTTCTGGTACTTATGCTATTCTTGACATTGTCTTGGATCGAGTGACTGCTGAGAAAAAGGTATAATTATAGTTAAATGATAATGTTTACATTTGTTAGATTATTAAAACTGCTGTATGGATGTTCATATTGCTCAAATTTACAGTTAAATTCACTTTCATTCATTAAAATTAACTTTTTTGCTATATTTTTCTTATGTTACCAAACGTCAAAATGTTGAAAGAATTTTGTCATTAATGAATTTAATATGTATGGAATAATTTTATTATTTATAAAAGGAATAATTCACAGAAAATTTTAAGAATTCCTGTTTTTTTGAATAATCTAATCTCGGAAATTTCCAGAGAATATTTCTTTTTTCCCAAACGCTCTATCTAAATTTCAGGTTGGGTTGTTGGAAACAGCAAGTATTGTCCGGAAACAACGTTACGGTTGCATGTCCTATTACTCACATTACAGCCATGTGGCTGATTTAGTCGTTCGATATGCTATAGCTACGGGTATCGTCGACATTGGGCAAATAAAGCAGCAGGAATAAAGTTTAAAATAATCTGTGAATCATCATTGCATTATAATTCAAATAAAAGCTATTTGCAATCATAAAAAATTATTGTTGGATAAAAGGTAGAAAATATGGGTGAAATTATGTGGTAAAAAGTTTGAAGAATTATAAAGAAGAAAGAAGAGGAAATTTAAAACGCAATTTAATGTATTTTGAGAAGCACGAAATTTGTTTTGGAAAATTGAACATTATATATGCTTATTCTAATATATAGAAAAATTTGTCTATAAAGAAATATATAAAGGAAAACTTATGTCAATAAGTTAAATGAACATTGAAAGATATGAGAAAGAAATAGGAAAAAATTTTTCGAATTGGAATTTCACTCAAGATCCTTAATTTTAATACAGCATATGGAATTGAAAATGAAATTATAACTGCTTGAATTTAAAAGGAATATATGTAATTAATTATTAAATGAGTCAATTTCGAAACGACTATCAGTCATTACCTGATCCAATTGATATGAATTAAGAAAACAGAATTGAACAAAGCTAAATGCAAATACTTATGATACTTCTTCGTATTCCAATGTAAAAACACTTCAGTGATTGTTTCATAATAAAATCAATACTCCATTAGGGCCTGAAATGTTAGAAACAGTTTTTGATTTGTATTTATTCCTTCCGAAACCACTAGAAAATACTAAAAGGCATAGAAATACTGAAGTGTTTTTTAAATATCTAAACTAATGAAAATGAAAAAATCGCTTCAGCTTATTCATTGCAACCTAATTATTAGTCATATCATTTATTTTTTAAGGCTGTCATCACTACCGTCATGTTTTTTTTTTTTTTTTTTTTTAATATTAAATTCAGTTTATAACTGGCAGAAGAGATTGCATTTATGTTTTATGGAAAATATTGGAATAAATTTATTAGTGTTTAAAATTTTGTGAAAATAAATTGTATGAATTGCGGATAAAGTAATATTACGAGAAAATGATATTAATGCTAACCTTTTTTATGCACAGAAATTAAGCTCTTCATATTATTTATCGCTTCCAGGAGTTGCTCATCCTCAATCACTTTGTTTACGCAATGAAAATAGAGTTCGTGTTCAAAATGCTAATTAAAATATTACTTTTATGAATTTTGAAATTTCATTTAAAAAAAGAAAAGCAAATTTGTAACTTTCTGTGTTTTTAAAGTTTCTAACTTTCTGTGACATAATAAAGTTACGAAAACAACCTACAAAACTGTCCATTCTGATAATTTTTCAGACAGTGGTAGTATCTCTGAAAAAATACCAATGACAAGTTTGTTTGTCACAAATATTTAATCTAATATTTTCCGAAACGTATGTGATGATAGAAGAAATATTCGTAATTTCGGTTCCTAAATTCTGGAAAACAAAATGAGTCAATCTTTTAATGATGTTCAGATCATATCCTAATTTTTATAAATTATTTACTAATTTCTAGTGATTTAGTTTAAGAAACATTGCAGCATTTCAAGAATTCTTAAGCACTTAAATTATAAATGATTGAAAAACCACCTTGTAATTTCCAGCATTTTTTTAAAATTTTCTCAAACTTTACAGCGGTATCATAACATGATCAGTTGACTGATTCACGTAAAAACAATTGGCTTAAATTATGCAAGCGATCCGCTGGAAATTGCGCAATCTCAAATAACTGTCACTTTTATACGTCAAAGTAATTGCACTGAAATTAATGTTTTAAAAATCACACATTTATAATTATTGAATCAAACTGTTTGGTGGGAAATGGAAAATTATAAGAGTGGAAATTATAATGTCACATTACAATTTCTGACCAAACACTTCTAAAATTAACCTATCGAATAGCGTGTCGAGTTTGCAGAAACATTTAAAGAATTAAAAATAGGTGTGAAAAAATGATAAAGTGGAATTATTTTGAAAGCCAGTTTATACTTTTCCAAGTCCAAGTGCCTGTGAAAATGCAGGTCACTCTCGACAATATCAACGATACTCAAATGATAGTGATTAATAATTGCTAAGTTTCATTTTGACTTGAAATGGAAACTTCGTTAGGTTTTATCATCTGTGATATGTTATTTGCCCTCAATTAGAGCAAATTTGTCAAAAGAAGGATTTTCAAAAGAAATTACTAATAAATATATATTTAAGTGCTTCATTATCCATACGAAATGTTTCGCTTATACTTCCGGATGAGTTCAGATATGGCTGCACTATATTTCCGGTTGTAACTTGACGTGGAGAACTCAGATCAAATAGGTTATAAGAACCAAAGACATCAATTAATGTTATCTAGGCTTAACCTTCCTTTCTTCTGCCCATTTCACTTGTATTTCAATTATCCTTTAATACTATGAAGAAATGAAGAAAACTGTAAGAAAATATAAACTGAAAAAATGAGAACATACTTTGAGAGATGAAAATAGAGAAAATAATGGTAGCATTGTGAGTCTGCTTGAAATGTCAGTCTTGAAAGAGTTCCTGAACTGAAAAAAAAATGCAAACTCAACATTCCTTTAAAATACATATTGATATAAATACATGCCGACTGTCATCGCAAAACACTTTTATAGGTGTCATCCGAAATTACACATTCAAGAACTGTAAACATTAGATTTATTAATACTAGATTTAACTTCTTGTCCAAAAGCTATTTAATCAAACAAACCTTAATTCCACTTTGATTGCCACATCGACCAATTCGGGCAATAATGACCAGAAGCAACCCAAATAATTTGCAGTCACACCAGAAAGACTGCAAAATAGTTGGGTTGTTTCCGGAAATTGAAAGGAAAAGGGAAGCAATAAGTGAAAGTGGCATTTGCACATCATATCGCTGTAACAGTGCCCACATTTTCAAATGGAATTCAAATTAAGCACAGAGTGGTCGTTGCACCTCGGCGGTTTTGTCCAACTTGCACCATAGCTTTAAATGACGCAAAAGGGTGAACGGAATTAACGACGGTGCATGTGTTATACGGTGGGAAAATGAAAGAAGAGAATTTTGAAGGGGAAATCATTAACCAATTTAACCGGTGAACCAGAATGGGACATAGCATGTGATCACATTGTCGGTTTCAGAAGAATGAGAAAACGAATTAGCTTCTGTATCTATTGAAAAAGGTCATCAACGGTTTCTCGAATCAGTTATCAATTAAATCTCGACACACTTTTTTTTTTTTTTTCACATTGCTAATTTTGTATTGTTCACATCTGTCATGATATACAAAGTGTAGCAACTGCAATATACTTTTTTATTCGATAAAATTATAATATTATTTTTATCTCTGATGCGCGCGTGTGCACGTGACCTGAATATTAAATTTGAATGTTTAGTGTTACGAAAAAGTTACGCCAATTCTCCTCCTTTCATAAACATGAAATATGCCAAAAATGCGAAATTAATTGTCATAAGCATTAGTAGAATAGTGATTAGAATGACTGACGATGTAATATTTTTAAATTAAAGTGTAAGGGTTAAAAGCTATAAAGCAGTTCCTTACTGCAAGCAGTAAATATTTACAAGTTATATCATTCTCGATATTCTTCAAAATCTGTTTGAAACTGTTCAGTAGTGGATTTTGATAAAATATAATTGAAATCAATTTGCCCCACAAAGATATTATCTAAAGATCTTACAAATTCAAAAGATTTTAAGAAAAATTCAAATAAAACTCAAAAGGTAGTATTTTTAGGTAGCATCGTTGTGCGACATTTGTGATCCTACTCATTCTTTAAAACTGCGACTAGTTTTAATTATGTAACTAACATGATAATTTCACACAAATAAAAGTTATCTAAGAAAAGAAAAGAGTTACTTTAATAGGTCTTCCTTTATTAAAATAAATTAAAATAAAATTATCCTTTAGGGCAAAAAATGTATCGGATCTCGTCACATTACTGTACACATAAATATTCTGCTTAGTATTATCGATTAAATATAAAGATTCGAAATCTTGAATTTATCATTCTGCAAAATTACTGCAACGTTTATTTCGGTGATATGCATTTTGCATAGATTACGTTTGAAGACAGTCTTTAGATGTAATAATTTTTGAATTATTTTGATAACATTCTTTGAATATCCTAAAATATTCATGGAAAATAGAGAGATATTGCGAGAAAGTTTATTGGTATGCAAATCTTGCAACAAAACTATTGAATTCAATGTTGAAAATAAGAATTTAGGAACATATAAGAAAATAAATCTATCAGTTCGGTGAAAAAGAACAATCAATTAATTAACTAGACATAAGCATCATTACTTAGAATTAATCCAACACCAAATCATCACACCGTGAGCTGAATAAGTCAACTGTTCTAAACTCTGAAATTATCATTTCTACAGAAAATTCCTATTAATATCAAGAATAATTTAAACCTAAAATTAAATCTTGTTTTTAATCTTTTTCTGATTTTCGATGCGAACTGTCGAAAAAAATATGAATACAGTGAATGAACGAATAACTTTCATTGATTCTCACATTGACTTTGCAGTCTCTTTCTTCTTGCTTAATGATTATACACTATCAGATAAAGTGATCCATTGACATAGCATTAGAGATAGTTATCTACGTGCATCTTATAGAGCATATTATGGAAGCTTAAAGATTATTCCTTGTTGATTGGTTGCTGGGAAATGAGTAACTTACTGATCAAAGGGATATATATTAATGCTCATAGTATTAATATTAATGATACTTCATGGCATCTTAGTTGTGTCAGACAGAGTTTTTCATTTTAACGTCTTATGTGTTCTGATAGCTCCATATTTTCTTCTTGCAATTTAAATGCATTTTTTCTTTTCAGCGCAAAAAAAAAAAAAAAAAAAAAAAAAAACGGAATCCTGCAAAGTACAAGGACCATCTTTGCCAACGCTGGCAGATCTGAAGAATTACTTACGCACGGAGCCGTTATATTTCCAGGTGTTGGAAAATTACCTGCACAATGCGGCAAATTTAGTATGTCCATTTTTGATTTTAAATTTATTTGTCATTTATGACATACAGCTTAAAATAGGTAATACTTTCTGAATTTATGAAGGAGATTAGAGGAATAAGTATGAACTAAGGGAATGAAATGTTATTCCTTGCTTTGAACTTCATTGGTACTTACCTCATAGATGTAAAGTTAGTTTTACATTAATGATATCTAGCTACATCTTTTTTAGATTAACGAGTTGAGAGCGAAAATGGAAAGAAATGAGCGATAAGCTCATGAAGAACAAGTTGCGCTCCATCTCCTCGAGCGCAATCAAGTGGAAACTTGGCAAGAAAAATCAGTGCCATCACTGGTTGATGATGATGGCAATTTGGAAGAGGAGATGGATGAGTGAGCCATTCCTCAACGAGGAAGTTATCAGTGTGGCACCACCGGCAACAGTCTCGGATCGCAGAGAAGAAACAGTTCGTGAAATCGAGCTGTAAGTCTCATTTTCAATTATGCAAATGTGACAAAGAGTGTTTGTAGTGCAATGTAATATCCTAGATTTAAACATGAAAGAATATTCTTGTCATCGAAACCCTTGATTGCAAGTGTGTTTCAGGCGATCTCGGACTATAAGAGTCCCAATGCTGGAGCAGGACAGAAACAACGAAGTACCAGCAGGCCCGGTAGCCTTCCAAGTGCCATCAATGGAGGCTTTACCGGCACATTACCGACGAGCGCTGGCTGCTCCAGAAATCGACCCATACACGGTGACAAGGAAGGTTGATGGGTCAACTGCAAACGGTAAATTTAAAAAAAAAAATAATAATTCGCATTAATGCAGTAAATAATAATTCGCATTAATCTATAACATTTGTTATGCTTTTAAATAAATCTGGAATCTCTTAATAAGAATTTCAAAACTGAAATATTTTCAGGATGTGGCTTTTGCTAGAAAGAATTTGGGACGTTGAAAGGATGGCGGATTCATGCCAGCAGAACTCATAGGCAGAATGGTGAGTTTAACTTTGGATTGAATTGTATTATTTGCTGCAGTAATTGAAGTTATTACTTTCAATATTTGTATTTCAGATTTTTGTCAAAAATGCGACCATTTTGTTAAAATGCCGCATGCAGCCTCTACTGAAGTGATCGAGGCTGTTATGGAGTTTCATTCTATGGAATGGTGCCCTAAAGTGACTAAGGCTGTAGTCTAAGAAAGGGCTGCCAAGCGACGGAAGCTCGAGCTAGTGGGTAGAATCGAAGACGCCAAGCGCTAGTTTATCCCTGGTAAATGAAATGATTTCTTTGTTTTCAAATTATATTATATAATTAACTCATTTCCTCTAGATCAATCTTCCAGTGTTTTCAGGCGCACTGTGATTTTTACCCATAACCGTTGGCAAAAGTCATCTAATGCAGTTTCCGCCGTTTCCACCTCGCTCTCGCTTCGAAATCTCATCCGTGCGTAAGTAACTTATGAATTACTTATTCCAGTTTTTTTTTTTTTTTTTTTTCAATTTTATGTTATATTAAGACTGGTTTGTTATTAAGTGTTGAAATGTTGGGCGATCAAACTTTTCATGCTTTGCTTTTGCATAATTATGAATGAAGCATAGTCTCAAATAGTTTCATCTCTAAAATCAATACTGAGAAAGTTTGTTTTTCTTGATCGCCCAACTTTTTTTAATGTTTTCTTTTTTCGTTTTTTTTTTTTTCAACACTTTAATGATAAAATGTTTTTTTGCTTTAATTTTAGAATGCATTGTTTGATTAAAATTTTTTGCCTTTGTTGTTTACTAATTTTGGGATTTTTTTTTTGTTCAATTCACTTTGTTTTTTAATTGTTTATGTGATTAAATTTCCAAAAAAAGAAAAAATTAAAAAAAAAGAAAAAAATAAAAAACAAAAGATAAAAAATTAAAAACTAAAAAAAATAAAAATGAAAAAAAAAAGAAAAAGAAAAGAACAAAAAAAAATAAAAGAATAGAAAAAAATAAAAAAGAAAAAAGAAAAAAAGAAAAAATAAAAAAATAAAAACAGCAAAAAAATATGAAAAAAATAGAAAAAAATAAAAAAGAAAAAATAGAAAAAATGAAAAAATAATTTGAGAAAAAATTGGTGCTAATTGTATTTTTTGCTTATTTTTACTTCACACACTTGTATTTTTTGATTTTTTACTGTTTTACTGTTAGCAATTTTAATTTATACCTTTATCGTTGTTAATTTAAATCAATCTAAATGCTAATTTGTTACTGTTTACGACTGTTATACTTTTCCATATGATTAATTCCTTTTTTTGTCTTCGTTGAATTGCTTTCTCGCCCAGTTATCCTTATTTTACTGCTTCTCATATGTTGGCTATGTATTTGCCAATTGTTTTTATTTTTTATACATTTATTTTTTATTGCTTATATTTATTTATCTATTTATTTTTATTTGTATTTGTCATTCATGTTCATATTACTTTTCTAATTATTAACCATTTTCATATCGGTTATTCCGACACAACTTTTAATTTTTAATGAGAATTTGACAATTTTAGCTCCCCGCTGTCAATTTGCTGTTTTTAATGTAAACTAAATTTAATTTGATTTTAGATTTAATTATTTTAAATTAGAGTGTCTCATAGTTTGTATTTGTTTTATATTTTATTAGTAACTGTTATTATTCTATTATTTTAATATGACTTTTTTAACCTTATTACACACAGTCTGCAATAACCCCGACTGTTCATAAAGATTGCTGTTTTTATATTTTGTTATTATTCAATTAAGCGTTTTTAATTAGCAGATATACGAATTATTTATGTTTATTTTACTACATTTTCCGTTATTTGCTGAATCATTTTGGCTCCAAGTCTGTATAGCCGTAGTTTTACCTACTGTCATTTCTGTTTTTTTTTATCCAAATACTTAGTTTTAGCATTTATTTATTCAAATACTTAAATTTGTATTAATACAACTTAAGTTTTAGGTTGTATGTTAAGTTTTAAACCGTATTCACTTCATCACAAAGAATTTTTTCCTTCACCTGTTGCCAATTTTTACAGTGTTGGAAAAATCTTTTCTTCACTCTTGATTTCATTTCCGAATTTTTTTTTTCTTTGATTTATTTCAATTATCAACTATGCGAGCAAATCCAATTTGAAAAGTTGCAAGACACAGATTTGAAATTTAGTATTTTGATTAAAATTTGTTTACTTTCCCATTTATTGTTTTTTTTTTCCGTCCATATTTTTCCTGTTATTTATGGGAGTGATTTTTTTCTTTTTTGATTATATTATCTCTTTAAGTGTGATTAACTTTATTTCGATACTCAGGTATAAGTAATTTCTTTTTTGTTTAGATTAATATTAGCGTTATTCAGACCTAAGAAAAAATTTGACTAATTTTTTAATGGCTTCGAGTTATTGTCTGCAAAGGTTATTGTTCTTCACCTGTTGCACCAATTAACATTTATTGATCGTTGTGTGCCTTTCCTTTTTGCGCCGCTATTTTAATGAAATGGTAATTTTCCGCTGCATTTTGTGTGATTTCTCATCTAACAGATGCTATTATAATTCGTTAATTTAATATGCAAATTACACTTTTTATTTCCTTGTAAGCAATTAAAAATGTTTTTTTCAACACTACGGTCTATGCTTTAAGTTAGCTATCTTTTATTTTAGTTTAGCTATTTTATTTTGCAGTGAACAATTCATTTATCGACTTTCTTTTAGCTTTTTAATCAGTTTATAATTTAATTAAATATTGAAGCATCAGTTTATAATGCGATTAAATCGCAAAAGACAATTTCATGTAAATTATTTTGTTTGTTTAATTAGTCAGCAATTTATTAATTTCTTTCATTTCAATATTTTGTTAGAATTGTAAGCGAAAGCATTTATTGTGTTTTTTTCCTTATTTTACGACTTTTATTTTCAGCAACATTAAAAGTATTAAAATATATACGCACTGCCATTTTTTAAATTTAAATGAACTTCTTCATATTCTATTTAATAATTCGTCTAATGTTTAATTTCAGTCTTTCATACCGTGATGTCGTTTTCCTCATATTTTGATAATTTGTATTTTCTGGTATTTATGATTTAAAAATTATTAGTGTTAAATAATTATATATTTCTTCCATTTCTTGCAAATTTGTTTATTGCACATATCTTTTCATCAATTAATCATACCTGTAATATGCATTTTTAATAGAATTTCATTTATCATTTTCATCTTTCCAATTCCTTCTTTGTATCCCTACATAAATATAAGTTATGCTATTCCTTTTAACTTCTCAAACTTCACGTTGTACTCTTTGCTATTCTGATCCACCTGGCGTTTTTCATTAATTCACCGTCTTCCACATTTTCTAGCTTTTCTCAACTTCCTCTACAGCGTTCCTTATTCATCTCAAGTTTCTCAGCCTATTTTGTTACACTGAATTGTTTTTTTCTTTAATTAATTAACTACAATTTCAGCGTTTTTTCATTATTCTAACTTTTGCAGCAATTTTGTTAATATTATTTACATATCGTTTTTTATTTATTAGTAAGACATTGTTTCCAAGTAATTAATTTTTATTTTAACGTGTTTATTCATATTAACTTTTATATACCATCTTATTTCACCATTTTCTTACAGCGTTCTTTAACCGTTATCTCAACCCCCCTTATTTGGCCCAACTTCGTCTGCTATTTTGATTTCTTAACTTTTGCATTTTATTTTATAATTAATTATCGTTTGCATCAATTTTGCATGCCATTTTCATATCATTTAAACTTTCTTTGTTTTTTGTTGCTACTCATCTTTCGCATGTCATTTTGTTATTTCTTTACATGCTGTTTTGTTTTACTTATCTTTTGTTATTACTTATCTCTTGCACTCTCTTTTATCATTACTTATCTTTTGCATGCTATTTTATCATTACTTATCTTTCATATGCTATTTTATCATTACTTATTTTTGCATTGTATTTTATCATTACTTATCTTTTGCATGCTATTTTGTTATTTCTTATACTGTGCATGCCCTTTTGTTGCTACTTATCTTTTGCATGTTGTTTTGTAATTATTGATATTTGCATTTTTGTTATTATTTAACATTTGCATGCATTTTTTTCTGATTTTTTTTGCGCATGATTTTGTAATTATCTAATTTTTTCATACTATCTTGTCATCACCTGATTTTTTGCATGTTATTTTTTTATTACTTAACTTTTCATGCTGTTTTAATTTTTTTTTTTTCTTATTAGTTGACTGTTGCATGAAAAAAAAACTTGATTTTGCATGCTGTTTTGTTATTGCCTATCTTTTGCTCATTTTTTGCTAATACTAGTCTTTTACGTGTTGTTTTATGCTTATTTTGCATTTAATGAACTTTTGCATGCTGTTTTGCATTTTTATACATTATTTCTATTTCTATTTAACTTTTGTTTCAGCGTTAATCTTTTGCAAAGGCACACATTTTTGTCAATTCTGGCATGCTCTTTTGTTAATTTTGTTCGGTGTTTTTAATCAGTTGGTTTTTATTTCAGCGTTTTTCAATCCTAACTTTTACATACTATTTGATTTTTCTGTTTGTTGTTGATTGACTTTTGTCTTCTTTCTTTTACTCGTCTTAATTTCTACATGCTTTTTTTGTTATTACCTAAGTTATTTAAGTTACTTAGTGTATCGTCAAAATTAACTTTTATTCCTCCCTAATTTATTTTTAACTTCTACATGCTTTCTTATTATTCTAACATATTTAATGTCCTTGCAAGAAGAAAATATGGAGCTATCAGAACACATAAGACGTTAAAATGAAAAACTCTGTCTGACACAACTAAGATGCCATGAAGTATCATTAATATTAATACTATGAGCATTAATATATATCCCTTTGATCAGTAAGTTACTCATTTCCCAGCAACCAATCAACAAGGAATAATCTTTAAGCTTCCATAATATGCTCTATAAGATGCACGTAGATAACTATCTCTAATGCTATGTCAATGGATCACTTTATCTGATAGTGTATAATCATTAAGCAAGAAGAAAGAGACTGCAAAGTCAATGTGAGAATCAATGAAAGTTATTCGTTCATTCACTGTATTCATATTTTTTTCGACAGTTCGCATCGAAAATCAGAAAAAGATTAAAAACAAGATTTAATTTTAGGTTTAAATTATTCTTGATATTAATAGGAATTTTCTGTAGAAATGATAATTTCAGAGTTTAGAACAGTTGACTTATTCAGCTCACGGTGTGATGATTTGGTGTTGGATTAATTCTAAGTAATGATGCTTATGTCTAGTTAATTAATTGATTGTTCTTTTTCACCGAACTGATAGATTTATTTTCTTATATGTTCCTAAATTCTTATTTTCAACATTGAATTCAATAGTTTTGTTGCAAGATTTGCATACCAATAAACTTTCTCGCAATATCTCTCTATTTTCCATGAATATTTTAGGATATTCAAAGAATGTTATCAAAATAATTCAAAAATTATTACATCTAAAGACTGTCTTCAAACGTAATCTATGCAAAATGCATATCACCGAAATAAACGTTGCAGTAATTTTGCAGAATGATAAATTCAAGATTTCGAATCTTTATATTTAATCGATAATACTAAGCAGAATATTTATGTGTACAGTAATGTGACGAGATCCGATACATTTTTTGCCCTAAAGGATAATTTTATTTTAATTTATTTTAATAAAGGAAGACCTATTAAAGTAACTCTTTTCTTTTCTTAGATAACTTTTATTTGTGTGAAATTATCATGTTAGTTACATAATTAAAACTAGTCGCAGTTTTAAAGAATGAGTAGGATCACAAATGTCGCACAACGATGCTACCTAAAAATACTACCTTTTGAGTTTTATTTGAATTTTTCTTAAAATCTTTTGAATTTGTAAGATCTTTAGATAATATCTTTGTGGGGCAAATTGATTTCAATTATATTTTATCAAAATCCACTACTGAACAGTTTCAAACAGATTTTGAAGAATATCGAGAATGATATAACTTGTAAATATTTACTGCTTGCAGTAAGGAACTGCTTTATAGCTTTTAACCCTTACACTTTAATTTAAAAATATTACATCGTCAGTCATTCTAATCACTATTCTACTAATGCTTATGACAATTAATTTCGCATTTTTGGCATATTTCATGTTTATGAAAGGAGGAGAATTGGCGTAACTTTTTCGTAACACTAAACATTCAAATTTAATATTCAGGTCACGTGCACACGCGCGCATCAGAGATAAAAATAATATTATAATTTTATCGAATAAAAAAGTATATTGCAGTTGCTACACTTTGTATATCATGACAGATGTGAACAATACAAAATTAGCAATGTGAAAAAAAAAAAAAAAGTGTGTCGAGATTTAATTGATAACTGATTCGAGAAACCGTTGATGACCTTTTTCAATAGATACAGAAGCTAATTCGTTTTCTCATTCTTCTGAAACCGACAATGTGATCACATGCTATGTCCCATTCTGGTTCACCGGTTAAATTGGTTAATGATTTCCCCTTCAAAATTCTCTTCTTTCATTTTCCCACCGTATAACACATGCACCGTCGTTAATTCCGTTCACCCTTTTGCGTCATTTAAAGCTATGGTGCAAGTTGGACAAAACCGCCGAGGTGCAACGACCACTCTGTGCTTAATTTGAATTCCATTTGAAAATGTGGGCACTGTTACAGCGATATGATGTGCAAATGCCACTTTTAATTGGGACTTTGAAAACTAGTATGACATAGCAACAATTCAGAAATATAGACTACTAACCTGAAAGTTATACATTAAAATTAAATTCCTGATTAAAATTTCACTACTAATCACATCAACGAGATTATACAAAGGAAACGATGAAATCGTCGCTAAATGCTCTAAATCTTCGAACTTCAAAATTCTGATAGAACGAAGGAAAACTTAAAACTTGGAAATGTGTATTTAAGCCCATTTTTGAGTTACAAATTGACACGAGCAACATAGTTTCCGATGCCATAAAATAGAGAAAACTACACGATAGGACAAAAAAAATAATAAGCCTAGGGCAATTATAACATAGCTGGCTATAATCGTCTTCTTATTTGGTAGCAAGCATTTATTGACCTGAATATCGTCAGGAGTTACAGTGACAAGAAGAAATGCAGGTTGTGGAATATTTCGCCATGAAAATGACGATAATGTCCATTCATATACATTATACGGTGATGGCCACCTGAAACATTGCACTAATCTTTTGAAGGCGCTATTTTTGTTTGATATAGGTAACACAAGTATAGAAAAAACAGCAGTAGAAAGTAATATTTCCCTTCAAAAAAATTGGAGAAATAAACTTCATGTGTGCAAATCATGTATATTTTAATGAGATCATAAATTATTATAAACTAAAACCAAATATGCAACCTACAAGATTGCTAAGTTTGTAACTACCCTTTTATGGTGAGATAATAGTGTAATTAAGGATTTGGTTAGAGTTAAATTTTAAAAAATATAATTCACCATGTTCGACAACTGTAATGCAGATGACCATCAAAGATAGCACGAGGTTTCAGTTTTTTCAGAATGTAATGAGACGACACATTGGAAAGGCAATGAAATCCAGCACGAAAACGCTCTGACTTTCTTGGTTCTGGCGCTACATCATAGTCATTGGCACATTTTGAATCACTATGTCTGAAATTCACAAATTATACTAAAGTCTAAATTATTTAGAAACTAGACTATTAGCTTCTTAAGAGTATTAGAAATTTTTTATTTAGTAAGCTGAATGTGAATGATATGGAAAGAACAAAAAAATATATAAAAGTATCTATCTAAAGCAGATATGTTGATAGTATCACTCGATTAAATTAGACATAGTGATTTTAAGAAATTTTACCTGTACAATGGGACATGAAGCAATAAGATGGGTCTTGAATGAATATTACATGGTGCTTTTAGATTTCTATTACAATTAAATACTTGACTCAGCTGCTCAACTTGATCTTTGGTAACGTTCCGAAGCAAACAATCACCACAATCAATTGTCATGGAATTCAACAATACGAAATGATTTCCACCAATAACGATGTGATCAACAAGTGAGCGTGAAAAATGTTGCGAGAAAAATTGCAAACGTACTGGATTGATTTTACTTAAACGAAACTTTTGAAATTTCTAAAATAAAGTTTTTTTCCTAAATCAAACACTGCACAAATTGACCTCCGACAGAACCATTGCTCAGATTCATTTCGACATAACTTGGTGATTTTATTATCAACATCAAACTAGTAAAATATAATTCTTCTGTTTTCTTTTTTTTGGCTTCCATTATCTTCTGACCGTTTTTATGATTGCAATCTAAATAGAATTCTATATACTAAATACGAAAATAAAAAAAAAAAACTCAAGAAATTCGATTGAGTGAATCCACATGTAATTTACAAGAAAAATCAGTTGCCTTCAATCTATATTAACTTTAAAATATTTATGTAAACGAACCACAATGAAAATTCGAAAATAAAGCTTACTGATGGGATATAATATCATGATTGCCCACAATACAATGTCTTTCAACGTTTTTGGGTACATAAAAAAGTTCATTGAAATGATTTGCATAATTTATAAGGTCCTGTTGACTGCTTATGGTACTACCATCAAATAAATCACCTGAAACTATGCATATTCCTCCCAAGATCACTGCAAAGATTTCTATTTTTTTTACTACCGATGAAAATGAACTGATTACAATTTGGTTAGAAACAAAAAAAAAAAAAAAAAAAAGAAAGCAAGTCTACCAGTATGTTTACAATCAACGTTGTCATTTCTTCAAACTATTTGTTTAATACAATTTCACCTGTGTGAAATAAATAAATTCTAAAATAGAAAAAAACGAGTTAATATATGTATCATTTTTTATTGTTTAATTGTATCATTTTTATTGTTTCAGCGAACTTTTTGAACCCTTAATCTATAATTCGAATGTATAAATATTCAGAGTTAAACAAAATGTTAAACAAATCTAAAAAGAAAACGGCATGTGGACGAGTCAATGATACGGCTGACTGAAACGACCGGTACATTTGCCATTCCCTGAAAGTAAAAATTCAAGTTGCTATTCACTAATATTCGATTAGTCTTTCCTAAAACATATAAAAACGTATGAAAGGAGAATTTGTTGTGAGAAATATAGCGCCATTTGAAATCTGAACAAGATGAAGCAATAAAGGTGAACTTACTACCTACTCTTTTAACACTTTCAAATATATAGTAGTAAATTTCATGACATTTCTAATTTGAACCTATCATTTCATGCTGCTTATTTTTATAGAATATAATCGATTTTTATTTGTTTAATCAATTTTATTACTTTTCATCCATCATTATTCATTTTCCATATTCTCTTGCTAATCATAAGAATTTAACATTCATTCGTTAGGACTAAATGATTTATTCCCCATATACAGTAAAAAAATTCTAATAGTATAAAATTTCATTCATGTAACTTTTCCTTTTGACATTCACATATTTTTGACATTTTACCTTTTAGCACAAAAATGTTTATCGAATTATTTTTAAAATGCAATTTTATAACTCAAAAAAAAAGAAGAAAAAAACCAAACATGATAAAATTATCTTTATTTCCAAATAATCATTTTTAAATCTTAATTTTGAAAGAAAAAAAAAGAGTAAAAACAAAAATGAAAAAAGAAGAGAAAGAAAAAATGAAAAATAAACGAGCCATCTTATCTTGTCGAACCAATATTCATTTTGACTGGATAATAAGAGATGGATATCGGTCAATATAATCACTCGTGTCTCTTTTTTACGTCCTTCTTCTGTTGTTGATATAATAGGCCACGAACATGTCGTATAGATTGTTATGTAATATGTCAAATACTCATTGTAAATGACAACAAAAAGAATAATCAACAATAAACCTGTTTTACTGCTCCAAATTCCACCCATTCACGAATAGATTACTTAGCAACAAAAAAAAAAAAAAAAAAAAAAAAAAAAACAAGTACAAAAAAAACAAAGATTCGAACGACAAATTTTTACACAGTCAGCATTATCTGAACGATTGTGAAATGGAACGTTTCAGATAAATGTTCAATTTAGTTAAAAAAAAAAGCACTGGAATTATTATTATTTGGAAATTTACAATAAAAATGATGAGTTTAAGCGAGAAATTTAAAGTAATTAATATTTTCCTATTTTTTATTCTAAATAATTGATAGAACAATAGTGATAATTTGCTTCATCTTATTTGATAAATAAATTCATTAATGAAACAATATAACATTAATGATAATTAATAATTATTTTTGTTGTTAAAATGGCCATCATAAAAATAGTTGGAAAAATTACTTCATATGTTTAAGTCATAATTTTAGCTACTGTATTAATATTATAAAATGCATTATCATAAATAGATTAAATTTTATTTTTCATTTTTCCTTTTTCACTTTTGTCTACAATTAATTTCATATTTTCATTATGGAAAAATGTTATCGTAAAATGAATGAAAAAATGAATCATTTAATTGATATTATTTCAACTATTAGCATAAGATAAAAGGGCAAAGAGGAAAAAGGAAATGATTTCATAGTTTCTCTTTTCTCTGTTATTTAAAATATTTTTCATTTATTGTATAAGTTTTATTTTCCTTCAATAGCAAAAAAAAACTTTTTACAATAATTAAATATGAGAAATTGAAAAATATCTCTTTTTATTCTTAGCTTTTTCTAGACAATTATTTAAAACAATGGCGAGAATTCGTTTTCTAATTACTTTGTGACATCATCGAGATTTTTTGTCATTTTTTCGTTTAGCTTACTTACCATCTTCTCCTCTCTTCCGTCAAATCTTTATTGTTATTTGGTAAATTTTAAATGTAAATAAAGAAGTTAATTAATGTGTGAATAACAGTATACACCGTAGCTTACCTGTAATCCACGTTGACATGGCACAGTGACACAGCGGGAAGCACTCTTTGTCATCTGATTTGAATTGATTCGAAAACAGAAATGCTTCCTCTTAGCTTCAGATTTCATACGTATCATCAATAATAGCCCCATGTTCAGAGCACGGACGAGGGATGTAGTAAATTCATCACTAGCTACTGATATCTTATCATATCACTCATTTAAGATTGGAATCTAATTATGGGGAATATAACAGTAAGTGAGGTCTTCTATTCATGCTTGCTTGTAGATCTTCCAATCTTTTCTTTGTTATAAATCAATTTGCATCAAAATATTTGTGCCTAAATGGAATAGCAGTAGAAGAAAATAAATGATTCATATTCATTTACTTATTTATTTGTGGTATACTAATATAATTGAATGGAATTCATCTATAATTAAATACTTTGATTCGTCGTAATAAATATTTTGAGAATTCATTTGGATTTGTTGGGGATCTGATGCATATTTTGCTAAATTAATGAATGGTATATTAATTAATAGTGCAAATGTTAGAGTACATTTAATATTCTGCTTCTTTTTCATTTGTTTTTGAAAAAGTTAAGTCAAAATTTAAAATCAAAAATTTTTTTTATCATAGATAATTTTATTAATATATATTTCGAATGTGGAATGGTGAAATAAATTATCCCTAATCTAGGAGTTAAAAAAAAAGAAAAAAAGATTACAATAAATAAATAAACAATTGAAATTTTAGTACTACATTAAAAAATAATGTATGGGAAATTTGTCTAATTTAAATTTTAATCACCATTTTAATTTAAATGTTAATCATACAGTAGTTTTATGATTTTAGTGATATACTATTGTGATAAATGTTTCATTGAAAAAAGTTTAATTTTCAAAAAGACAAGAAATTCTAATGGATGTTGTGATAAGGAAGAATTTCTTTAATTGCTTATCTTTTTTTTAAAAAAATATTATCCTTCATTTTGAAATTATTAATCATTTTATTTCGCGTATTACACTAATAATTTATCACCAGTATATCTATTTAACTTTAAAAAGTAAAGGTTAAAAAAAAACATAAAACAAATAAAAAAGAAAAAATAAGTGATAGAAGTTTACGTAAAACAAATAACAGTAAAATTTGTTTTTCAACAAATTGAAGCCAATTTTCTTCATTGTTTATCTAAGAAGTATTTTGAAACTTTTATTAGCTTATGATAATTCCTTCAAAAATAATTCCACAGTAAGCATTTAAACTTTACAAATTTTTAATTTCTAAATTAATTAGTTTTAAAATGTTATCCATATGATAGAAGTAAAAAAGAAAAGAAAAACAAAAATAAATAAATAAAAATTTTAATTAATAATATAAAATCGTTAATTGAGAATGTAAAAGATTGTTAAATTCTTATTTTCTCTCTCATTCTTTCTCCTTTTTTTTGTTTTTTCTTTTTCTGATGTAAATAAGTGAAAACGATATTTTAAAATTGTTTAATCATACATCTGAGTTAAAAAAAAAAAAGAACAGAAGTTAGACGTTAAAAGTTATGATTAATTATTTGAAGAAATTACCTCAAGCTAATGAAGTTTTTGAAACCAAACAGAGAGAGAGAGAGAGAGAGAGAGAGAGAGAGAGAGAGAGAGAGAGAGATAACAGCTGTTAGAAATAAAATGTTGCAACATTTGACAATGTTATATATCATAGCATGCATTAGATCAATAGATCGATATATCATTCGTTAGATTTTAATTAAATAAAATCAAATGAAGAGTTAAAAAAAAATTTTCGTTTTTTTTTTTTTTTTTAAATTTCTATTATTTGTCTTTTCTTTTAAATTATTTGTTATTCGCATTCTTTCATTCTTTCACTATTTATCATTTATTTTTTGCATTCCTGAAACAATTACTCATCTTCTATTCCTTTGGATATTGCTTACTTTAACAAAATATCTAAGATTTCTCGTTTTCTTCAAAGTGATATTTTGAGAATTTATAAATCTATTCTTATATTATATATATATGCTTTATGTTCATAACTTTTTGTTTTTACTCTTATTTCTATGTCGTAGCATTTAACATAAATTATATTGCGAGCAAAAATCAATGATTAAATGTACTCAATTAATGCTAAAGTAATTATGTGATTGCATTTAGGCTCAAATATATTGCTAATAATCAAACCAATTAATGAAGACGAATTCATATATTTCTTTGTAAACAAAAAATAAGCTTTTTTATTTACATACACAATGCATATTATTTTATGCGAGAATTCAAATAAACCTTGGAATAAAAGCATTTTGCATTTTGTATTGTTTTGAGTGCAATCTGTTTAATGCTATATGAAGTGATAATCGATTAGTATGAATACAGTAGATTAAATCGAAATTTCATAGGCTCTAATCATAACTGTTGAAAGTTTAAATATCTTCAAATAGCTAAACTTTTGATTAAAAAAAGAAAAAATCCGTCAATGGCTTTTCTTTTCATCATCCAATCACTGTGGTAATTATTATCGACTGCTGCATAAAATTGCGTGGAATGAACTTTCATCTTTTCAAATTCAATTCAATAACCACAAATATTGGAATAAAAAAATTTTTGGCATAATTATGTCAGATCAATAATTTCCATAATTTACTTTTTGTTAATCAGTAATGATGAACAGGCAATTAATTCATTTAAAATTCAAGCATTTCATAATTTTTACAAAACTTTTTCAATTATCATCAAATATATCATACAATTTGTTTCCAATTAAATTTATCTATCATTAATATTATCACTTATCATCATACCTTTAAGATTCATTTCGAAATTAAATATAAGAATTATTTTAAACCTACTCCTCATCACATATTATTTTTATGGTCTAAAAGCTAAGCATAAATATGGAACTGCTTATTGAAAGACTGTATAACATTTATACTTAAAAGAAGTACCAAAGATAAATAATAAAATTTGTGAATGTAAAAATTTCAATACTTACTTATTTTTTTAGAGAACACTTTTAGGAGTGGATAAATCAAAGAACTTAAAATATAATTTGATGAATTTTTTTTTTACTCCATCATTTTTTTAATTAATTGGTAATATCTATGTGAATTATTATTATTATTGTTATTGTTATTGTTATTGTCAATATTAATAATTGGATCATTAATTTATCAAAAAGATAATAATTGTTCCTGAACAAAAACATAATTTAATATTGCCATTTATTTGTTTGGAAAAATTTCCCAAGATCTCTAAGCATTTAATATTTTTAAAGTTCGCTACATTACTTTAGCAAAATGGCTAGAGAAATATGTGCACAAAGATTTTGTCAAAATTCACATCATCAATCATTTTGTTGTTTCAAATGTTATTTCAAAATATTGTTTATTTCACAATTAGATGTGCTTTCCTTTGCTAAGGCATATTAAAAATGAATATGAAATAAGCAACTTAAATGTGTAATTACTTCATATTATGTTTTTCAAATTTTAAAATTGCAACTCTGTCTCTAGTTTTTGAACTTGTTCATCTATTTAAGTTAGAGAATGTTTGTGATTTTCCAAAATTTCAAATTCAATTACTTATATAAATGCAAAAAAAAAAATTATATTTCTAAAATTTACATTTCTCTAAAATTTTTTGAATTATGTCAATAAATTAAAAAAGTAAATTGAAAGGTTTAAATTTTCCGAAAATATTTATTGCTTTTGTCTCATTCCATTATTCAATTATGTTATTTTTAATGAATTAAATTCCAAGTAAACCGAAACGATTACTTTAATTTGATTAGCAAATTTTCACATCGATTCATTATTAAGCTTTCAATTTAAAACTTCTAAACTATCGTCACTGCATTTCTTAACAGTCCTTCTTATCATCAAAGAATGTTAACATACATTATTGAAGAAAGTTATCTGTCAGAGTTTCAAAAAAATTTGCAGTATTAGTCGCCAAACTTTTTAACTTAATGTGTTGTTTACAAATAACAATAAATAATAATAATTAAAAATACTGCGTACATATCAGTTAATCAAATGCAAATGTGAATGAAATCAATGCCATTTAGAAATATTTTATGAGTAATATTAATCAAATTATCAACAATTTTTGTCGCTTTTCTATTAAAATTATAAGTTAGAGATTAAAAAAAATTTTTTAAAAATAATTTGACGTTTTCTATTATTTAAATATAATAATTTAATAACAAAGAAAATATATTTTAATGTATGCTTATAATTTATACATTTTTGATCAAAATTTTTTTGCATCTTGAATATAACAAATGATAATAATTAATAATTAAAATGAAATAGAAATGGAAGCTAAATTAATGCCATTCAAAAATAATTAGCACACGAACAATAACCTCAACAAAATAATTAATTAGCTATTAGTGCATGAAAGAAAGCAAATAATAATTTAACTAATCACAAAATTTTTGCATGCTTAACTTTTGCTATGAAAATTTAAAGTTTTTAATAAAAATGAGAAAAAAAAAAGTAATTTTGATGGAGTAAAAAAAAATTTAAGTAACAGTTAAAAAATTTGCATTAGTTTTTCTTTTTTTCGAACTAAATTTTTCATTTCGTTCTTGCTATTTCAATTATTAGTATTAATATTTATTAATCTAATATTATCATTAAGCAAGAAAAACACAAAAATCACAAATTGTTTTTCCACTCCATTTCTTCACAACTGAAATCAAAATTTATTTTCCGTTCATATATTAGCCAATAATATTTTTCGCAAAAAGATATTATAAAAGGCCTAAAAGAATGATACATTTGCTTTTTGGCTTAACTAGTATTTAAAAAAAAAAAAGAAAAAAAAATTTCTTGAACTTTAATTTTATAAAATTAACAACGTTGAATTGCTTATGTATATTATTATTAAAAACATAGAAATAATAATTAGCAATAAAAGTTTGGGTGAAAAAAAAAACATATGTTAAATTCAAAAATACGACAATAGAAGTATATCAACGTAGCCTAACGTAGGTGTATTAAGCTAATATTGTGACAACTAATCGTTGACAATATGTGAAATATTAAGTTTATTCTTTCTGTTTCTTAATTTTTACTGGAATTTGTTATACTTTTGTTATATTATTATTTTGAGCTTTTATTTCAACGTCTCAATTGAATAGCAACTAATCATGACTTATTATTTCCCATTTATAACTTTTAAAACCTATTAATAACTTTTTTTTTTTAAGAGGACGTATAAATGTCTTAATTAATCGATGAGTTAATTATTTTCAATAATATCAGTTTTGAGCTGCATGTAATCATCTTCTTAATTTTGAAAACATGAAATAAGATTTAAAAAAAAAGAAAAGAAAAAAGAAAGAGATAAATCGGGATCCGAAATTGAATTCGAATAAGAAAATTATTACTTTAATACCTAAATTGATAACAATTTCAAAATTTTCGTCAACGATCTATCTTAGATCTAATCTTTATTATTTCTTAAAAATTGTAACAAATATTTTAAATGTTATAAATTTAAAAAAAAAAAGTATTCTTATGCTTAAAATTTCAAATGATTTCATTTTATAAATTTTAATTCTTTACTGCTGTAATTATTACAGAAGCGATGGATTTTGATTCACAGCATCAGAAATGGTTTTGTTGTTGCTGTCATTTGACACGTGGTCTGGTGATATTGTCAAGCGCTGAAATTATCTTATCACTTTTCCTATTATTATATGCAATTGCTTATATTGCTTTATCAAATTCTAATGAACAGGTTATTATTATTATCGTTATTGTTATTATTATGTTTAAAGGTTAAAAAGAAAAAAATGAATATCTAAAAAAAGTGATTAAAAAGAAAAAAAAATTGATAATTTGAAATGACATTTTTCATTTGTTGTTTTTTCTGCTTTTTTTAAAAAAGAAAGAAAGAAAAAAGAAACTAAAAAAATATTTGATAATAGCTAATAGGGTATCAGTGTACTATGACAAAATTTGAAATTCAAATAAAGTAAAATTAAAATTTTTAATTGTGCAGCACGATAATATGTTATGGTTTATGATAATATTAATGTCAATTAGCATCATGTTTGGTGTGACATCAGCACTTTTGATCTTTGGAATTAACAAATACAAGGTTATTTATTTATCTCTTTAACTGTTTATTTATTATTTTATTCATTTAGCTAAGCTATTTAATCGTTTCATTATAACATTCATTTGCTAATTTCTTATTTTCTGACCATTTAATTTATTAATTTATAGGAAAGTTATTCATATATTTATTAGAAAAAATCATTTTTTTAGTTTGCCTTTTTTTTTTTTTCACTGATTTAAGTTAAAATTTCAGGTAAAATTAATGTATCCGACTTTGGTAGCTCGAGCAATAATTGTTTTTTTCATGCAAGCATTCGGTGTTTCAATAATTGTTCGACCATCTCATGCTATCGATGTTATAAATTTGAATGAATCAAATGATGAAATAATGCATAAAAATTTTGTTCAGGAAAAGATGCGAATTAAAATGGTAAAAAATTAAAATTTCATACATTTTTGTTCTAAAGTGTTAATAAAAATTTTTTGAAAAGAAAACGAAGTTGGATAATAATTAATTTTAATTTGTGCTATTAATGCACACTCCAATTTATAACATAAGCAACATTTAAATACAAAGTTAACAATATGTACAAATTTTAGAATGAATTATCAGCTGCGCAACGCTTATCATTGTTAATATTTTTTATGATATTAATATCAACATTTGTATTTTATACACTTTATTTAATTGTGCGATGTATTCGTTATGTGAAAGCATACAAACGACTTTTGAATAGAAAACGTTCATTTATCGCTGCTTGTCACATTAGTATGTTTTTTTTTAACTAATAATTTCGAATTTTATTTTATTAATTGAAACCTTCAAAGTATTAACTTAGTTATGAGTTAATAATTATTGCACAAGAAATTATTTTACATCGAATATTAACTAGGGTAAGAATGTTAATAGATTACCAAGAAAATAAAAATAAGCTATTAGCATGATAAATAACCTTAGGCTTAAATAAATAAATAAATAATTAAGATCTAATTCATTAATCTAATTCATTGATTAGTAGATAGATATCATGTATTTTTAATATCACAAATCATTTACAGAGTACTAATTAACAAATATTTATATTCTTATTATCACAGATCACTGATTTTCAATGTTTCAGATATATTGGATAAACGACAAAGCTCGTTGCATTCTAAAAATTTTGAAGCATAATGACTGGAAATATTTCTAAATAATTATTCATTGAAGCTTATTTATAAGTGATCTCATATTGCCTAAAATTGCTTGAATTTATTTATAATATTATCCAATTTTTTTTCCTAGTTTTTTTATTTAAAAAAAAAAAATTTAATCTGGAAGTAAAATTTTTTAATTAAAAAAAATGGTAAAAAATAATTTTTGTTTTTCATTTTATGGAAATGAAAGAGGAATAAAATAATAATTAATCAGTGTTTAATTTTGAATAAAATTGTATTATTTATATTATTTTTATTATGAATTTATAACTTGTTAATTTATAAATACAATATCATCTGATAAGACAATTATAGCAAAAAAAAAAGCTATTACTGATTCATAATTGCTTTTTAAAAATATTGTAAAAACATTTTCAGTTTTTTTTTTTCTTTTTAATTTATATAAACAAAAATGAACAAACGAGCAGCAATGGAATTTATATAAATTCTTGGTATTCAGTAGTATTCATTAGTAAATTATTGTATGATCATAGCAAATTGAATTCATTTACACAAGAAAAATTTTAAATTTAAAGAAGAATATTCGATATAATTATATAATAATCGATTTGAAAGGAAAAAAAAAGATTTTACACTGAAAGATTTATAATTTATTTAATTAATCTTTTCTGCAATTCCAAATTTGCAATGTGTTTGAATTAAAATAGAAAAATATTTGAACTGAAAGAAAAACAAAACGAAAAAGAAATTCTGGAAATATCTACAATATCATTAACAAATAAAATTTGCATTTGTGTTCGAAATAATACAACCGGCATTATTATTATTATTACTTCATTATTACAGTAAGAAATGATTATTAGATTTTTTTTTTTTAATTTAAATGAACTGTTATATATTTTAAATCAAAATTAGCATTTAATTTTTAACATAATTTTAATCTGTAAAATTTAAATTTGAATGATAATTATATGATAAAATGAAATTAAAACTCAAAAACAACGTATATCATTTCCAGAATTATTGTCAAACGGTCGATATTTCTCGAAATGTATTTGCAAGAAAACTTTTTGTTACTTTTAAATTAATAATTTATATAATACTGCAAATTTTGATAATTAATAATGGAAAATAATAATTGCGACATGAAATATATGTTGATATTTTGTCTTCTTTTACAGAGAAAATACAAATTTGATGCAAAAATCATGAAAGAAGTTAATGCAGCAGCAATGAATCATTGTTTAGATGAAGTTGAACTTACTAATTAATTTAATTTATAAATTTCTTCAATTGCATTTCATTTCATAGTTAAAACTCCATGTTTTTTTCCCCTTTTGCTTTTTTTATAATAATATTTATTGCAATAAAAATGAATACATATTAATCATTAACAAATATTAGGTACCAAATTTACCTGCTTTAAATATTTCTTATGATGGACGAGTGGAGTGGAATCCAACTAAATCAATGGATGCTACAATTCATCAATTTCGTTCCGCTGTGCTTAGCGCAAATGTCAGAATTATTAAGCAAATTCTTAAAGATTTGCATAATCTTGCACCTGTAAGTTCAAATAGTATTGATGGCTTTTTATAGATTTTGATGGAATAAAAAAACTTATAAAAATTGTTTTCTTTTTAAATTATTAAAGAAAAAGCAAATGAAATAATTTAGATCTAAAATTTAAAAAAAATGATCTGAGGTTCAAAAAAAAAAAAAAAAAAAACAATTTTAGCTTAAAAAATAATACAAAAAAAAAAAAAAAAAATGAGAATTGAAGTGCAAAAATTTGTAAATTGCTAAGAAAAAATAAGAATACTGATTCTGCCATCTTATTATTGACAAAATGTTTGACTGATAAGTAATTAAGTTAACTCTTTCGAAATTAATTGAGGCAGTAAAAGTTATAAAAAGTTATGCTACTATCAATAAAATAAATGCTAAAATATTTGATGAATTTTCATCAAATATCATCGCTATTTTAAGGGTCAAATTGAGCGATTAATTGCATTACTCATTAATCGAACATCAGTTGAACCTACCAAAGAAGCATTGATGACAGCAATTTGTATTGGAAGTCGACCATTGGTTGAATTTATTTTATCACTTTTTATGGAATATCCCGGTGAAGAACGTAACGGTTTGTACATTATTTTAGCACTGTATAAATTTTGTTAAAATTTAAAAAACATACAAAAATTAAATTTAAATTAAAATAAAAAATTAAAGAAGTTTAAATTAAAAACTAAGTTAAAATAATAATCAACATTAATTTTAGGTCATTTTAATAAGATAACAACAATTTTTTCGTTTTTTGTTTTTTTTTTGTTTTTTAACCAATTTAATATTAACAATCTTAAACAAAAATTAACAAAATTTATATTATATTTGATCGAAAGGTATGTTGTTTACTTATTTTGAAATATTTCTTTTTTTTTTGTTTTGTTTGCAGGTTGTCGGAAATCGAAATCATTTCCAGTGCACATGACCCCACTAATGCTTGCCTGTATATGTAATAACTTTGCCATCGTTCAATGTTTACTTCTCAGGAAGCATTATATGCAGTTACCACATCGACCTGATTGTAAATTTTAATTTTTAACTTTTTTTTTTCTTGCTGTGTCTATATATCATACTAAAAAAATTTTTTTTTCATTATTTAATTTTTTCCATCTTTTTTTCTTTTGTTTATTAATGATTTAATTTGTCGAATTTAGAAATTATCGGAACAAAATAATAATTGCAAATTTTAAATATTAAGTAAATTCAGTTCTGAAGACTGAATTTAATATTAATGATTTTTTTTAAAAAAGAAATAAATTGCAAAGGTCATTGTGATGAATGTTTACGAAGCGCACATTGCATGGAAAATAGTATAATTCTATTGGATACCTATCGTGCAATTAGTAGTGAATCATTCCTATGGCTTGCATGCACTGATCCGCTGCTTGCTGCATTCAATCTTGCAGTTGATTTGCAAGTATGCGAGGAAATGGAAAAGGAACACAAAGTAAACTTTGAAATGATAAACACAAACAATGCAATGCAATCATTCCTTCTCAATGATAAACCATTATCAGTGATAATAAATTATATTTCGGATATTAATGATTTAAAATTTTGGATGCTAAATTTTTGAAATATTTAATATATTTTTATTTTATTAATAGCTGTCAAAGATTATTACATCTTTCAAATTACTAAATCTTTCTAATTATAATTTTTTTTTTAATAAAATAAAAAATAAAAAAAACAAATTGATAATTTATTGCAAACTTTATATAATACCTTTCAATGGAAGAATATTTTGAGCAAATATAGGTGGCATATAGGAATTTACGTCACAATGTGATGACATTTGCGGTCAAAATTGCTGAGCAATGCTGGACAACAGAAGAAATTCACGTGCTACTATCACGTAAAGTTGGATCACCTTTGGCTGATTGCGAATTACGCTTTCCACGTATTCAATTGGCTCTTAAGGCACATATGAAACCGGTGCAAATTCATTTTTACTTTTCTTTTTCTTATCAGCAATATCATTTTAAACAGTTTATTTTTTACGTGCAAATTCAACAACGTCTAATTTATACTTTAGACGTGTTTCATGCTAAATTAAGCGTTTTGTTTGTCTATGTAGCTAAGTGTTCTGAAATATTACTTACTAAACTATTCATAGTTGAAATTGTATAAAAGTACAATTGGTAACTTTAGAACTCTAATTCATACTGATAATAATAATAGTGATATTAATGTAATATTTTTTGTTCTATCATATAACAATAATGTGAAATTTTCTACTGAAAATTAATAATATAATAATTTCAAACAATTCCAAAATGTCAATTAAATTTTTTTTTGTTTCCAAAAAAAATAAAATCAAAAATTTTAGTTTCTATCTTTATTGGGTATTCAAGCAACAATAGAAGGCCACTGGCATGGAATGTGGACAGATAGTGGAAAATTTAAATGTCAAGATTTGAGTCGCAAATTCCGACATTTTATCTGCTATCCAATTTTAGCATTACTTCATGCAATTAGCGCTGGAAGTTATATTGAAACTTTTAAATATCCATTAGCACGGTGAGTTGATGCAATTTCATCAACGTTTTAAATTGTTTTAAAAACCAAAAGAAGAAAAGGAAAGAAATATTTGTAAGCAAACAGAAATTTTCTAAATTTTTAAACTTTTTTTTCGAATTTTATATTAGAAATAATCAAAATGATATGTTAGTGCTAATCAAAAATAGAAATATCAATTGAATGATAAATTACATTTGTATGTTTATAATTAATGATCGATAAACGCAAAATTTAACTGATCAAACTTGTGATCTATGAACTTTTATCCATAACAACAACAAAAATAGATAATTTTAAACTTTTGACAAAAATTTTGTTCTATTTTCTTTTTTTGAAAAAATTATATGAGATTTTAGATATATGAGTAGATTAGCAAGTTACATATTATTTCTTACCATTTTAATTTTTATTCGATATTTTGGAAGAACTGGCGAGCAATCATCTGAGCGATCACTTGTTAATAGCAGTTCGTTTTAAAAATCAATAATTTTTTTAACAAAATTATTTTTATAGCACATATTTTAATTTGTAATAGAAAAAAAAACTTTTTGTTACTTCAAAATTATTGAATAATTTTTCTCACATAGAAATGTCATTAATGTTATGTGATAAATAAAGGTAAGTAAAAAGATTTAAAGCAAACAAAAAAAAAAAATTTTGATTTGAAAAAAAAGAAAAGTATTTTCGTGGATGAAACTTTTATAATATTAATTATTCAATTGGAAATGAATTCTTTTACAGATTTACGATTAATATTAGAGAGCTATGTATATTTATATGTTTATGGTATGGCTGTTATACATTATATCGAATTTGCTAGCAAAGGTTTTATGACATTTTACAATGTTTGGTGGCGATGGTTAAGTTTTTTTCTTCTTTTTCTTTCTCTCTCTCTCTTTTTGTTACTATTCCTGTTAATTTCTATAATGTAAACAAGCAAACAAACTGAGCCAAAAAAAGAAAGACGAAAGAGATTTAAATTGAAATCTATCTAAGCTTTTTCATTAATTTATAAATTAATAAACTTAACGAAATTTTTATTTAAATTTTAAGAAATATTTATAATACAGGTTTGATCTTATTTTAATATGGCTATTCTCAGGATCATTTTTTTGTTTTATTATGACAGCAGCTACCATTCATCAAGATGGTTTGAAACAATTACATCGAAGACATTGGGTTCGTTTCACATAACACAGCATCGTATAAAAGTTCGATTGGATAAAATGCAAAATAAAATTCATAAAAAAAAAAAAAAAAAAATGATATTTGAGCTTGAGGAATTTTTAGTAATTTGATACGTCGGACATTGCGAAATTAAATTGAATTGAAAAGGAAAAATTGCCAAAAAACAAATATGCAAACTTTTTTTTTAATTATGATAATTTCAGGTCTATTATGATTTTTAATAATTTCAGGTGTATTATGATTTTTCAATAATTTATGATATTTATTTTGGTACAGCTTCTATTATGGCTTTATGGAGACTTTTGTATTACTTTCAACTACAGCGTAATATTGGCTCAACTGTTGTAAGTACTATGAGAAAAAATTTTATAAAAAAGTTAGAGTTAATTTATTCGAATCTATTTTACAAAATTTATTTTAAATTGTAAAATATCTTTAATATGCTATTAAGAAAGAAATTAGTTCTTTTTGACACTATTAACACAAAAGACATCTTAAGGTGGCATTAATTAATTAATTAGCTTAAACGTTAATGATATACTTGGATTCTTCCTCAATGATTATGGATTTTCTTGAATCATTGATGGATTTTTATAGATGTTAAATTGTTTATTTTGAAATTTATTTGTTCCATCTCACATTTAGAATGAATTTCAAAGTAAAATATATCTTTTACTTTTTTTTGTCTGCTAAGTGTATGAGAGATAAAAAAGTTTCCTATACAATAAGTTAAGTTTTTACACCAAATTAAATTTTTTTTTTAAATCTTGCACCAAAATTATAATCTATGTTATTGAAAAAAAAAATTCGATGCTTCATGTTTTATTTTATTTATGTTTAATAATGCTACTAAATGATAAGAATTTTTTATCAGTTTATCACTAATTATAATTAAGCATGCTCATCCATCAAAATTTGCTTAATTTTTTCATATTCCTTTATTCTAATAATTATATAATATTGCATATGGTTGTTGAAAATACATTCATATTTTTAATCATTTAATTACATTTCCTATCATTTAAATTATCGTTTATTTAACATTGAAAAATAAAACAAAACGAAAGACAAAAAACAAATAAAAAAATCAAAGAATCATTTTTTATCTTATTTTCATTTCCGATATCAATTTCTAAATGTATTCGTGATGTTACGATATTCCTATCAATAGCTGCTATCATAATGATATGCTTTTCATTGGGTATCAATACAATGTATCAAGCTTATAATGAAAATCGTGTTTTGGATAAGAGTGGAAATATTATTCAACAAAAAGAAACTTATTCAAGGCATGACAAAAAGAAAAACAGAAAATTCAAAAACAAAGATAATAATAATAATATTATCCTAAAATTAGTGTAAAAATAAACATTAAAAAAATGATTTTCAAATTTCAGTTTCTTTCCTCATTTTTTAAAAGTTGATTTTAAATTTGGTTATCAAAGAATTGTTTGCTAATGTTTGAAATAATTGTAAAACAATAAGCATTGTAAAAAATAATTAATATTATGTTTATTTGTTAATTCTTTTTTTTGCAAAAACTTTATTTTTTCCTGAAATGCCATCTTTTTTTTTCTTTTTGCTACGATAATTTCACTTTTTTTTTATTTTTTATTGAAATGAAATTAAATGTTGAAATTTTGTAGCATAGGAATAACATTTCGTAATTTGTATTGGTCATTTTATGGCTATCTTGCTCCTTGGGATTATAAACTTGTTGTGGGCAATGCTGGACCTAACCAAGAACCTATCGAACATCCACTTACTAATTATGCAGGAGAAATTACAATTGCAATATTTCATATTGCTGTTGTAATAACTTTATTAAATTTAATGATTTCCATGTTGGTTCGTACAGCTGATACAGTTCTGGTCAGTTGGTCATTCTAATTTAGATAAAAAGTTTAATTAGATTATAAATTTTTTACAATTTCTGAATTGTTTTTTTGCTAATATTTTTTAAATTTTTTTAATAAAAATTTAAGGTAATATTTTTAATTTGAAATTTTTAGGGTTTGAAATTAAAAAAAAAAGCATAAAATTTTATTATAGAATGCATTACATTTGTTCTTATTAAAAAGATTTGCTATAATTTGATAAATTTTAGAAAAATGAAGATCAAGAATGGAAGTTTACTCGTTGTCAAATTTATTCCGAATATTTCGATTGGTTTACTGCTATTCCACCACCATTCAATCTTATCTACAATACAACTTGTGGATTGTATAGATTATTTTCAAATAAATTCAAATTTGTTTATCCTGTAAGTATGCATTGTTATCATTAATGTTATAAATTAATTAAATAAAAGAATCAAATAAGTTTTAAAAATTTGAAATTATTCTAATTATATACAATTAGAATTAGCATATAACTTCTATCATTAGATATGGATGAAAATAATCTTATCATTCCGGAATAGATAATATTATCCAATTTGAAAGATTAAAAATGAAATTATGTGATTATAATAAAAATATAACTATAGCAATGTATATTCATGCATTTTCAAATTTGTAAATTATTTACATTTATTTTTTTCAGGATTTATGGATTCCAGTTCAAATTTGGAATCCATCAGTAAACGATGTTATTGAGCAAGATTTTCTGTATTTGGTAAGCTAGTTGTTGACCTGAAAATGCCATTCATATGTTTCAAAAGATGAATCTTTTGATTGATCTGAATTCATTGAAATGATCCGGAATTGATAAGTAGTTTATCAGGCAGAGCAAAATATTTTGCAGACACATTTAAATCAAATTTTTGATAGTTTTAAACTTAAACATTTTATCTTCTGAGCATTATCATTTTCTCCATTAACGTGATGCATTAGGGAAAGTGAACTATTCTATCTAATATTATTTAATTAATCATTGATAAACGATAATTAGTATATTAATTTTTTGAATATATTAATTCAAATAGCTAATTTAATCTGAAATAATTAATTGATCCACGAGTATATACTTAAAAACTCTAACATGCTGTATAATTTTCTACAAAATTTCATGAAAACGTGATTTGTTTTAACATAAATTAAACTTAATTCATAATCAACTTAAAGTTTTAAAGGAATTTTAAGCGATATCGACCAAATTTTCTTACTGTTAAAAGTTTTCTAGAAATTAATGAGATTACTGTTCGAGCGTTATCGATTCGCTGAAGAATATCACTATCAAACAGCTATGAAGGATGATGCTGATCGATTCATTTATAAGGAAAAACACGTATGTTAAAAGTTTTTCAAATATGTTAACTGAATGATTAAAAGCTGGTTAACTGTGCTAAAAGATAAATTATCGATTGGTTCGAGAAATGATTCGAGATTTATGCTCTTCCTTTAATCATTTCAATATAGCAATGTGTATCTGTCATATTTATTTCTAACTTTCAGACTCGTCCGCTTCTTTCATTTATGAATTCTCCGCCGATATCACACAAGATGATTACTTACTAGATTCTGTCATTTAAAATAAATTTAATTTTTTTTTAAATGTTTAAATTTGAAATAAATGTTGCTTGTTATTCGCCAGTGTTATTTAAAGCTTTTTAAAGAAGAAGAATTTCGCTTATCAGATTTTATAGAAGAAATTATTGGTTGATATGAACAGTAAAGTAACAATTATGAAAGTTAGAAATCACTAATTTTTTTAATGTATCTTACAGCTTATCGGCCTAATTAATTAGCTCTAAAGATTGAGATTAATTTGTTCCTAAATTAATTTAGCTTAAAAAAATGGAAAGTTGAGATTTGAAAAGATTAAGGTGATAAATAATTATATTTAAAATTCGATAAAAAAAAATTATTTTAAAAATACTATGTCAAAATAACTTTCATCCCTTTAAAGCATATGCGCACTTTTTTCTTATTTTCTTAAACTTCAAAATAGTCTTTTCTCTTTCCATGCAATACTTTGAACTTTTCCGCTGCCTCTTATTTTCAGATGAGATAATAAGTTGTGATAACAGAGTGAAACTTCTTGTTCAAAGAACATTCCTCAAAATATGCCATGACTCATTCATTCATCATATGTGTGTTGTAAGACTAATGATCAAAAAAGCATAAAGAGTTGTTGACCATCGGTCATTTTTTGACATACACTTTCCCTTATTGATTGATTCAAGACTATGTAACACAGCTGACCATTGGTCAGAGCATTTTTTGACATACACTTTCCCTTATTGATTGATTCAAGACTATGTAACACAGCTGACCATTGGTCAGAGCATTTTTTGACATACACTTCCCCTTATTGATTGATTCAAGACTATGTAACATAACTGACCATTGGTTAGAAGAATTTAACACAATTTAGCACACTTTCTTTCATTATCATTTATTATTATTATTATCGAATGAACCAATTAGTTAGTCATCCAAAAAATTATAAAATATCAGTTGAAGAAAGTAGAGAGAGTAAGAGAGAGAGAGAGGGAGAGAAGGCAAGAGAAAGGGTAAGAGAGAGAGGGAGAGAGAGAGTAATCAAATCTCCATTCCCTAAACAGCATAGTTAAATCGCCTTTCCCGGAACGAAAAGAAATTCTCTCTTTGTCCCACTCATTCTTTCTGTCAAACAATAATGATATCGAATAGTTGCGCATGAATCAATTCCCTTTCTTCTTTTTTTTTTCATTTTTAATCGCATGGTAAATCTTTCTACTTTTTTGATGAATTCGCACAATTTATATTATTCATTCTTTTGGTAACTATTTTAATGTAAACAGAAATTATTGGTTTTTCAATATAAATATGTAGGAAGCTCCTGTAGGATATCCTCAAATATTAAATAATAGTTAAACTTTAATAAAATATAGTATATTAATTATATTTAATTCCGTGTTATCTCTAATTGATTTTCAATTAGGATATGTGAGACTTATTACGTACGTGTACGTGTTCATCCTCTTTCATTCATGTCAGTTATCAATATTTGAAATTTATCAGTAAATTTAATGTAAAGGAAAAGGTTAAAAATCTACTTAATTAGTTTGTAAATCTCATTCATCCTTTTAATAAACGAAAGTTTCTTATTGTAAGAATAGGTATGATAAAAAAGATTACGTAATTTACGTGTTTCACTTAAATAACTGATTATGATTTATTTAATTAGTATTAGATGAATTTTAAACACTAATAATTTATACTTTATTAATCATGAAATAGTTTCATTCATATTTTCTTACAACAAAATATTTAGTCATATTCGATTCGTTATCATTTTATCTTTGATTAATATCATATCACTTGGTTCTATCATCATAAATGCAAAAACTATTAACATAATGTGAAATTTTCCGTGATATTTAAAACAAATATTGAAAATATGGACTTAATATTCAGATAGTATTATTATCTAACGATAACATTCCACATCTTTTAGAACTTTTCAAACTTTGAAATTTATTTTATAATAGACGAAAAATTATTGCTAATAAATTGGATGGCTGGAAATTCTCAAAACATTAACAGAAATCGATCTGAATGAATGTTGTGATTGGTTATTTATTTGACAGACTGGTAGTGTTATCAAATTATTTGAAAGTATTTCTTGATTTAAGCTAACAAATTGTATCATCTTAAAACATTACTTGTTATTGGTCGGGCAATTTATGGTTGGGCAAGGCTAGTTTACGGAATATTTTTGGATTTTGAATATTAAATCGTTTGAACTTATTATTAAGGACAAACTTATAGGCTATTATTTTGTAAAATTCTTCAAGTTGTGCTTGATAAGAAGTGAAATTGATTTTAGATCCTGTAAAGATAGCTATTAAGCATTTATAAAAATAAACAATAAACAAATGTAATAAATAAACTGAAGTAATTAATAGAGAAATGAGTTAGTATATAAACAGATACAAGAGATATGAATGTCTTTTAAATTATTCTCTGAATAAGTAAAAGTATTACAGAAAATATTAAGTGAAAAAAATTTCGAATGTTGTATGGTTGATTAATTTCATTGAAAGAACAATTATTACAGAAAAGTTATCAGTTACGCTCTACTTGTAAATGTGTTCTTTCCAATTTATACGAAATCACTTTTAAAATATTTCCAAATGACATCATTTGGAAATGTTTCATCAAATTTTGCAATATGTAAAATAATTAGTTATTATATTTGAAATATATTTATTGTTACATTCGTTGATTCAAAATGTAAAAGTTCATTTTTTGCAGGATATTGACGAATATTATTGTAACGGAGTGATTTCCATTAAGCTTTAAAAATCACGAATGAATGGTTATTTTAAAAATTTTAATTGCTGTTCCATATGTTTGTTATCCCTCCAATAACGTTACTTTCATTTTACATTTTACTTCATTTTCATTATAAAGATTGTTAGGTATATACTTTCATTTTACATTTTACGTCATACTTTATCTCCTGTATTACTTCTTATTTCCTTAATACTTCACAGCTCGTCTTACTTTTTTCAATGTTTTGTTTAGAAAATTTGAGAATGGCTTATTCTTGCTGATTACTTCTCTATTACAGCTTTTCCCGATAATTATTATTCACCATACATCAAAAATTTAGTTGATTTTCATCTTTCTTACTTTCATCTTCAAAATCTTTTGAAAATTTCTATGAAATTTTAAGAACGATTAAAAAACTGCAATTTCTTCGCCCTATTCAATTGAAATTGTACGAGAGCATTTTTGTGCCAAGAAATATTTGTTATAATTTCAGATTGCTTGTAATTTGAAAACTATGATTGTGGGTTGACAAATTTTAGGAGTAAAATAATTCATTGCGTATTTGACAATTAAACTCATTAGGTGATCTATTCAACTGCTGTTTTGTATAAATATGAAATTTTATCCTTTTTTTTTTTTTTTAAAAAAAAAAAAAAACAGCCGATATTTATTTTTACTGGGCATAATTTTTTATTATTTTTGATGTAGTACTTAATTTTATTTCGCTGTTCAATTTCACTACTGTTTGATGCTAGATAGACAAACTCATAGCTTGAGATAAGTTAGCATTGATCAGAACTTACGTCTGCATAATTATTATTATTTTAATTTAATAGTAACATTTATCAGATAAATTTTAACTAATAAATTATAAAACTTATCAGCTGTTTATCAAAATCCATCGCAACGTTACGAATATTTTAAATTGGTTTTTTAGTATGAATTTTCATTAAATAAGTTTCAAATTTCAGACTATCAATTATGTTACGTTTTGCATATTTGTTGTATTTAGTAAGTGTAGTAACTGCAGTTACATATATCGATGATTCAGATGAAAATAATGGCATTAGGATGTTCGAATTGAAGTAAGTGAAGTCTTACTTAAATAATTATGGAACTGTTTGTGCATATTCGAAATTGCAATGCAGTTTGCATGCAAACAAAAATTTTAATTCCAATATCCTGAACTAATTTGATATATGTTATTGAACTATTCCATTTTGAAAAATCATTTGATCAATGCCTTTCTTTTACTTAGCTTCTTTAAAATTTTTAGGACATATTTATTATAATACTTTAATTTTATTAGGCTTACAAATTACATACTATATTGAATGAACTTCACGTCGATAAACATAATTTCATTCAAAATTTAGAAAGACAAATAAGTGTAACATTGATATAATTTTCTTTTTTTTTCTTCGAAGAAGTAATTTTGAAATAGAGAAAGAGTTGTGCAACTCTCGAAATCACTAATAATCATTAACCGAGTAGAGAAAGAAAAACGAGCTTTCATTTCAAAATTTACCCATGATGCCATACTTTTAACCATTCTCATTACCAAGAGGAAGTATTTACGACTTTTTTCATCAAATTTGTCATTTTTCGGCAAATGTAAAAGGAAGTTTTAGTTTTAGTGTTAGTTTGGAAAAATCCAAAAAAATGCAGTAAAATCGTAATAGGAATGCCATATAGAACAGTCGATTTGTTTGAACCCTTCATTAGGTACTAAAATAACTTTAATATTTGCATACTGAACATTTGAATATTAACAATTCTTATATACTTTACGGTTGAATTACTTATTTACTTCTTTTCTTAGCATTTATTAAAGTATGAGTAATGGCAAGTGATTGGAAGGAATTTATAATTCAAATCTCTTTCCATTACTTTATTTTATTTTTAAACATTTTCAACTTCATACTTCTCACTAATTTATCTAGTAATTTTCCTCTTTTGATTTATTAATATTTATTATTGTTACAATTTATTATTACTACCAGTCATTATTATATTATAAATCTTTTAGTTTGAGCATATATAAATAATTTTATAGCTACCAAACCAATTATATTGTTAATAATAATTATTGTTATTCTAAATTAATTCCAAATTCTTCTTTAGGAAAAGTTCATTGGCATGTCCAATAATTGTGGTTGGTGAGCAATGTCCAGAAGAAACGCCATTATACTACTATCGTTGTTGTGGTGATTTGAATAGTTCTTGTTGTTTTAGACTTCAGGTAAGCTTAATTATTTCATTGTGGTGCTTTTCTCAAAAAAAATAAATAAATAAATGGATGAAAATCATACTGAAAACTTTTCTCAAACAGTCGAAATACTTGGCGAAAATAATGATCTGAAATGGATTAACTAATTCAGATTGAAAATTAATTCAAACTGCTATTACGAAAAAAATCAAAAATGAAATATTGCAACTTTTCTTTTTACTTTTTTTTTCATTTTTTTAACCATTTTTCTCCGTTTTTTTTTTTTTTTTTTTTCTTTTCTTTTTCCATTGAAAAATAAAAAATGCTTAAAACTAGGATCTATCAATAATACCACAAAATTACAACGTTTTATTTTCTTTTTCATTTCTAAAAAATTTCTGTTATTCCATTATTCCATAGAATCTTAGACTTTCCGTACAACGTGAACTTATTCTGGTGATTTATCACTAATAAGCTTTTTTACTGAATGTTTTGCGATAGATATCGAAATAAAAACTTTTTAATGCGCCAAATTACAATCCAAAATAAGTAAGATTTTAATTAAATCCTTGCTTTTTATCAAGACGTAATGTGGTGATGAAATTCTTGCAAGCGAGATATTTTAAATTTCAGAAGTTATTCTTGCTGTTAAAGTTAACCATAAGGATGAAGAAAATCATTCTTATTTCATTCAGTTAAGGTAAATAGACCATATCATAATTTGTTAATTAAGCATAAATGATATAATGGTCAGTGCAACTACTATTATATGAATGACGTATTTAAAGTTACGTGAAAAAAATCTTCACATTCTTTATAGTTATACTCATATATTTTTTAAATAAAGCATAATATAATTTGTTAATTACTTCTCCATTTTATTATAGTCGAAATCAGTGTGATATATCATTTTAATCAATTTAATTTTCACTTATTTTACAGTAATGAATATGAATATGCATTAAATAATGTTAATCTAAATTTATATCTTCGTATAAATGAAATGGCATATTATTGGTTGTTATCAAAAGCATAGATGATATAAGTAATCAGTGCAACAAGTGATTATCATCTTTTATCATATGTCGAGCATTAATATTTAAAAAATATTTGTGCAATGACAAATTTTATGATTATTACATTAATTTGAAAATGAGTCGGATAAGAATTAAAAAGATATTTCTTTTTTCAGGAATGGGTCATTGTACTGTTGGTGATAATGGGTGTTTTGATCATTGGCAGTTTGATAGTTAATTTTATTCGCTATCTTTTCTGCGTACGATAATATTTTTTTTTTTTTTTTTTTTTTTACAGACAGAAATCACATTATCTATGTGGGTTTGATTCAAATTTAATCTTTCAATGTTATTACATATTTTTTTTCTTTTTTCCTTACTTTTTTGCACTTCCTTTTAACGTTAACATTTTTTTTTATTTTATTTTTGAGATGATAAAAAAAAAAAAAAAAAAACATTATCTGATATATGCAGAATTGTGTAAATTACGCAAGAAATTAAGTACGTTTAAATGTCATAAATTTTATTGTTAATGAATGAACAAATTAAGATTTGTTCATTTCTAGCTCTTCGAAATTTTATACAACTATAGTAAATGATAATCATCATGCTAAAATTATTCTTTATCCATTCTCTATAGCTTTGAACTATTATTCCTTCATCTTTTAATTCAGTTCCTAATTTCTTCATTTTCTTTTGAATTATTGTGTGCTACTACTGTAAAGATATAAAAAGAAAAGAAAAGATATGAGAGGAGGAAAATGAAATTTTCATTTCCCTAAAAAAGAAATCTTTTCATGTATCAAATATTCAGTGTATCTCTTATTTCTTCTTACAAATAACATATATTTGTTTAAAAAAAAAAAAAAAGATTGAACAAAGACTGAAAGTTTCAAGAGATAGTTAGTATGAAGGATCTATCTTTATGTGCCTTGTGAAAGAGTTACATCTGGTACTACACAACGTTTTGTAATTATTACTACTTATGTTTAAGAGTATTTCTTTGATGTCTTATGCTTTTTTCTTTCACAAATTTTCTATTTAATTAGCAAGGAAGAATTGATGAATGAAGTTGCAGATCTTCTTTTTTTCTACTTGAGATTCCTTTTCTTGATAAGATACCAAATTCCTATTTTTATTAGAAATAATATGCATAGGTGAAATTAGTTTGATATCATGATTCGTTTCAAGAGAAGTTTTGTGTGCTGAAAAGTTTGTTAAACATTGATCCTTGCAAATGGAAATTAAAGCTGTATATTTTGAGTAAATGTTTTCACCGATGCTTTTTCATCTAGTGATAAGGCAAAGATAGCAGTATTTTTTTTGATTTTGCTGGGATCTCCCGATCATCTGTCATGTATGCTTAGCATCTGGCTCTTGCAATTGTTACATCTTGAGAACTACTTAGAGACAAATTATCGAAAATAATATTTGATAACAACCAAATGCTCCCATCATTTCACCTTGAGCTATAATTCTGATTCAAAATCGGAATTATAAATAATGAATCAAGTGGATAGATAAGCATAGCGGAATGTTACTACCATTCTTTTATGAAATACCAACAATGAACACAAAAGAATACTCAGAGTCCACTAGAACAGAGAATCAATAATAATGGAATGTCTGGAAATATTGAATTTCGAGGAATTAAGAAAAATTCAGAATGAGTAGAGAATTTACAATTATGATGATACAGTGGTAATACACAAAACATTTTCTTTTTAGTATTATAAATCAAATAACATATTAAAGTATGTAGCAACAAGTGAAGAAAAACAAAAAACCCTGATTAGAACCGTTTATTTTGATACTGATTTTTGGGAAATAATGTTTTAATTGCTACTTCTTACTGTTTCCACTGTAAGAGATGACGAAGAAATGTATGAAAACGGCTTGTTGGAGTAGAATGCTTCGTCAATTCGATAGTGGTCAATAGACTTTTGATGCCAACTGGATAACTACTAAATTGCTTGCTATATTGATTACAATCAAGGAATTTTGAGGAAGTTTTAGAATCCCAAGTTTTTTTGATTTCTTTTTCAAAAACCTCTCGACCAAACCTCATCCTCAAATATGTTTCATTTTCTTATGTAATGAATACCCGCTAAATTAATAGCATCACAGTGAAAATTCAAATGGATTTGGTTCTGAGATTTTTCTCAGACACTTAGAAAGATTCAGAATCAAATAAATTTTTGTTGGCACAAGAAACAACTATAAAAACAACATTAAATTACCTGTTGGCATCATGAATGAGACATTCCTGAAGCACTTCAAAATCAGCTTTGTTCAATACATTGGCACATTCGATTACTGGCATTATTCGGTCAATCTTCATTAGAAGTGGTACTTCAATAAGAGATGAGAAATAACGCTGCAAGCCAAACTTTTCTGCACATTCAGTAGTAACCGTTGCTATCACCAATAAGCGATTATTCTAGAAAATTTTAGTTTTTATTTTTTTGATAATTAAAATATTACGACTGAGTTAACTTTTTTCGTTTAATACAGTTGTAGCACATATAGATAAAGAGGAACAGGAATGATGAAGTTTAGAAAATGACTTGCAATTTTATGATAATGGCAAGCCTTATCTCTTCAGAATGAGGACAAACCTTTGGCCTCATCAAAAATCAACCAAATTTACGTGTACCTTCAACATTTCACCTTTCTTCAAAATCAACTTGACTGTTTGCAAAATGACATTAGAATAACGATCTCCAACATCGCAATATTCTAAAACCAAAATTCAGAAAATCCACAAACAATCACTTCCTTAACTATTTATTTAGAAAGACATTAAGCAGAGGAAATGGGTGAAAAATTACTTGTGGGAACTTCAATATCGAGAATAGAATGGAGTCTATTTCGTGTTGCAGTTAAGAGAAAATTCAAACGTAACTCCAGCTGGGAGAAGAGGATGAAATGAATTGAATTAAACTTTACAATTAAACAAAGCATCCAAAAATTTACCAATCAAAAGTTCGATACTATCCAGAAATAAAATGCACTGTGGCAGTTTGATAGCTTCCTCGAAAAGATCAATTAATTTCTCATTTTTTGCTTTCTCATTCAGTTTTAACATATTTTCCGGAAGACAACTTTTTATAGAAGGAATGCCGGAATTCTTTGCTATTAAAACTGCGAGACATGACTTACCCGTCTTTTCGGCGCCTATAAACATTCTAATCAATTGGGGGAGTCGATAATTACCATGTTTAAGTATAAAATGTTTGCTATATTTACATATAGTGCTGGATGAAGCGAAATACTAATGAAGGCCATACAAAATTTGAAAAAGAAAAAACATAGAAAAATGAGCATAAAAGACCATACCTTTTATTAGAAGAGAGAAGGATTTCGATAAATTTGAATTTGATGCCATGGAGCAAAACTGTGTTCCATCATCGACAATCTCATTGATTTCATTACTCCAAAAAATAAAATCACCGTTGGTTAAATAAAGCAAAGGTTGGAATCCATCAATTCCTTCAGCTGAAGTCTAAAATTCTCTCCGAATCATTCTCTGAGTCAATTCAAAATTGTATAACTTTTTTGTAGTTATGACAACGATTTTTTTCTGCCTCCATTTAACACGTACCGTTATCTCCTAATATTGGCATCATGTTTCTGGAACATACCAAAAGTTCGAACTCCATACAATCATCTGAGTTAACTCTTTTGAAGATTTTTATATTTGCTTCTTTAAAATTCAACAAAAAAAAAAAAAAACTAACATTCAGTTTTTCCATTCCGGAATTTGCTGAAATTTGCTGTTCAATGCTGGCTGAACTTATGCTGGTTTGCAAAAATGATTTTGCAATCATATCAGCTGTTAATATTGCTGTTGTTGTTATTGGACTTGTCGATTTCAGGTGATTAACTGTTGATGAATGGATGTCATAATGGGAAATCATATCACTGTATTCTCTTTTCAGACTCTTTAGAATTTCTTCGATTTCTGTAATGAAAAGTCCGGAATTTGAAGTTCAAAATTATCCTGCTTATATTTGTAATTTAAATTTCACTGCGTAACTACTTTTACTTATGATAAAATTAGAAGTTATCTCTTATTAGTTAGTTCACCGAAAAGAAAATAAAAATTTTTGAAATCGTGAAACATTTTCAAAATCTAACGATGTAAATCAAATTTAGAAGTCTTTATAATTTCGTGAAGAAGAGCTTCAAGAGATTGTGCAGTTTTTTTCGTTAGAACTTTATCACTTGTAGACGATCCATCAAAATGTCGTTTTAAAGCTTTTCGTTGCATTTCAGGTCTCACTAAACTAGATGGATGGTTGTGTTGTGTCGTCCGCTTTAAAACCTACATTAAACGTTTCAATTAAAATATTCGAAATTTGATACATCAAAAATTTCCATCTTGATCTTTTGGTTACAATAATTCCATGTTCTCTCTAAATTTTACACCTTTCACTGTGGTAAATCAATTAATAATAATAATGAAAATTTTAAAATGGAAAAGGATTTTTTTTCTACTCAGTGAAAAATTTTAAAAAAATGATTAAAACATTTCAAAATTTTTTAAAAATTTTCTTAACTTTACCTCATTTGTTGCAGCATCAGTATGTATTCTCGCATTGCAGGTACCCTTTTTCTCGCATCGCCAAAACTTCTTCTGCCCATTTCTACTCATCTTATCAAAAACATAAAAGTATCCATCATCTTGAAGTTTATAACGATGTCGTGTTGTTGTAAGCAAAATAGTTTTACCAGAATCTAAAATATTCATAGTTCATTTTAATGTCAAAAAACAAAAAAAACAAAACAAAAAAATCGAGAAAAGTTACGTTCACTATTGTTATCATTGTTATTTTCATAGCGATTGCCATATTCTGAATCCATTGAACAAATTGTAATAATTGTAGCACAGGTGATTGTTGTTCAGATACTATTGAATTTTTGATGTATTGAACTATTTGATCTAAAGTCATTCTTATTTAAGTCTGTCGAAGTGATAGAACTGAAATTTTTATTTAAGAAATGAAAATATCGACGTTTAAAACAATTACTTATTGTGCCTAAACTGTAATCTTAACATACTCTATCTTTTTTAGTTCTTTCTCTCTTTGAGAAGCAAAATTTTTCTGTAAAATGATAAAATTTGAATCGAAAATTTGATTAAATTGACTTTTTTGTTCAATTTATTGCAAATTGCACCAATGAAGCATAGCAAGGAGACAAGCAATATGGTAGTATTATGTTGGATGTGAAAGGAACAAAATGAAGGAAAATTGACAACGGCGCCGAACAAATCGCTAAAAAACCTAATAAAAAAAAGGAAAAAAAAAAACATTTCAATGTGATAAAGGCAATAGATCCGTGCAAGGGAATTTCAAACCAATAGAAGGAACGAGCGGTAGTGGCACCGACTCATTTCATCTAATCTCGACTAAACAAAGTATGGCGGATAGCTTTTCTCTTCTTTGCGCCTCGTTCCTCCTATCAAAATCATTTCTGAATGAGGGAGAGCAAAAAAAAAAAAAAAGAATTGAAAAACTATCGGATGACAGTATGAGACAGCTACCTCTTTCGATTTCTTTTTAATCAAATCCGGTGCTATTCCACCTCTCATTTCCGGTCTTTCTTCCTGATCGTTGTCCTCGATCACTCTTAATGCATCTATTTATAGCTAACTAAATAGCTATAGCAACTAGCAACGAGGCATTTCTTTACATCGATAATGGTATAGCCTTTAGTGTAAATTAGAAATATAAGCTTTCCATTTCTTACTTACTACTTACTTTTTAGTACCATTTAAATAAATCAGTATAATTTCTTCTTCTTTTATTTTGATGGTAAATAATTTTCTGGTGGTTTTGCTCAATTTTAATCTCGATATTTCCATAATAACGATAAATCCCTAAAACAACAACTATATGGGAATTCTTCCGCGCTAATATCATCATTACATGTCATTTTCATCTGTCAACATTTTGTGTACAACATGGAAATATAACGATCAATTAAAGATGATATTTATTGCTTTCCTTTACAGATTTAGTACGTGAAACGATTAGGTCACGTAAAATTACTACATATAAATGTATGAATACGTGCGCGTAATATACTATAAAGCTTATTAAAAGGAAAAATAGAATACAATACAATTGGATACCACAATTATGAAAATATTTGACGGAATGTAAGAAATTAACCATCAGCTGCCGCGATATTATGATTAAACTAAATGTAGGCATCTATCGAGATCAATAAGCATTATTTGACTATTCAGATAGTACTGCTAAAAATTTGCATGTGTCATCCAACTATGTCATTCATATCTACAAGATAGTCTGAGTTGTTTAATCTCAGAGTTGCCTTATGTCATGAACAATAATTATGTATGGCTATTGAAATTCGACACACTCCTTAACATTCATAATTTTTGAACAATGAAATTTCAAACCATAATGAAACTGTTTGCATTCGATCAGGAAATCATGTGAAATACGAATATCCAAATACTCAAAGCTGTCATAAAATGATTAATTCATTCACTCATCTAATAAAAAAGGAAAATTTCCAGCTATAATGATTTTTGATTCAGATTTTATTCTGATTTTTTATATGAATTCGTAATATTGTACAGATAATCAAAAACTATAAGTAGTCTAAAAAAAATTTATTCCTATAACAGGGATTTTCGGGACATTTTTCAACTTCTTAAATAATTTAAGGCAAATAATATGAAATTGCCTCTTTCTACAACCAAAGCTTGCGCGCCAAATCTAAGGTCTGAAATTTCAAAGTAATATCTTTGTCTGAAAAGATTTGAAATTTAAAGTAATATATTTTTGGGTCACATAGAAAAGGTATTTTCTGTGATATTTCAGAAAACTTTTAAGCATTGCTTTTAATCTGTTCGAAATAAAAATCGAAAACTTGGAAAACTTCAATTTACATCTTTCAGAAAATCAATCTTTTTCCCACCCAGCACATGTCTCAGAATTTTTCTATGTAGATGATAGAAATGCAGTCCAATGATTGTGGAGTATTCTGAGAATAGTCAGTTCCCAATTCACAAATTCTTTACAGATTTCTCTAAAAACTATTCTGAATAAGATATCAGATATTTATGTTAATCTTTGATTAACATAAATATTACAACAAAAACAAATTTATCTAAAAGATCAATATGAACTTCACAGGTGAATGTTTCTATCTCAAATCAAACACTCACTCATTCAGTATTCAAAGACTATAAGAATTTACCAAAAATAGCAGTGAAAAAGAATCTAAAGAAGATATTTCTGTATTGGATAAGATAAATGAGATTTGCAAATATGATAACATATCAAAAGGTTTTCATTCATAATTAATTACGAATTACTGAAAGTTTCAGACATTAAACTCTGCACAACCACCGAAACTCTATCTACCGGTTCGCATTCCCGCGCCATATCGATCACATTTAGCAATTTCTTGATTCCAATAAAGTATCTGCAAATTATGATAAATCATAAACCAAGTTTTTTTTTTTCTTTTTTAATTCCAGTGTAATCCAGTTCGGAATTTTGTAGAAGTTGAGAATATAACTAAGCAAATTCTTTTTTCAATTTCTTTTTCAGCAAATTCTTTTCTCTCTTTACACAGCTGAGTGCAAGTGCCTTGAAAAACAAGCAAATTTTAAAAAAGTAAACGAAAAAATTTCCACAGGATAAAACGCCATGTAAAAAGAAACACACGATGAAATATGAAATGATTCTTGAGATATGAAAGAAAAACTATATTGATATTTACAAATAACTAAATTAGTGGTTCCCAATTCTACAGTTTCTAGAAAAAATAAATTACCAAATAATAACATACAGTTGATCTTTAAAAAAAAAGAGAGAAAAAGAACGAAGTAACTTACTCTTTATTAGTACGAGAAAGTTCGTTACGAATCTCTTCACATTCTTGGCGTGAAAGTGCATTTGTATCCTCAATAACAGCCATGATATGCTGAACTGTTGTAAGCGCGGGTACGTCTATTATTGTACCAAATGCTGACAACAAACCGAGTTCACGTAAGAATGAACGATTACTTGACGTAGCAACAACAAGCAAGCGACGATTCTGAAAACGCTAAATCATAATAAAAGCACATCGAAAAACATAGTTAATATAATGCAACTCACCATTAAAAATTTCTAAACTTCAGAAATTTAGAAAAAATAAATTTTAGGATCTAAATTTCTAATTTTCAGCACGAAATACAACGTATGCTACGGAAGTATAAAACATACTTGAGGTGGCAGTTTCTTCACTAAAAGGAATAATGCTTGCAAGACCAAATTTGAATACCGTGGACCAATTGGTGAAAAATCTAAAATTAATCTCATGATGCTAACATGTACAGAAGCACAGAGTGAAAATGGAATAGAATATATAAACATTAATAACAATGAATTTCAGACAAAATTTATTTGAAATAATCAAAACAAACAAACCTAACAATCGTTCAACACCATCAACAATAACACAACTTAGTGGAGACCGATACGCATCATCGAACACTTTCCGCAGAGCAGCACATTTCGCTGTTTCGGTATAGCCAACCATATCTTCAGCACTAATCACTTTTATGAATGGATAATCGGAAGCTTTTGCAATCATCGCCGCAAAACATGTTTTGCCACTATTTGGTGATCCTCAAATTACAAGAATTGAATTAAACTAAAAAGAAATGTGAGAAAAGATATTTAATTGCTTCATTAGTTTATTGTTGGCAATTACTTAAATACAAAATCTAATATAATGATGATAAAATGGTTAAACATTTTTGAGACATGTTCTAACTCAAAATGAAATCAGAAGACGCTATTAAATGTCAGCTATAACAAAAATATTCAATTCACTACAGCTTACTATAAAGTGAATGATTAAATGGTCTGATGTTAATAAGTAGTAAGTAGTTGTCCCTAGCACTTTTGGCATATTTTAATATGAATGCTGTCAAATTTCATATTATTATTAGATTTCTTAAAAAATTTGCACCTTTTCATATTTTCTCAACACTTAACATAATTCTAGTCCAATTTTAGTGATTTCTTCTTTTCAAAAGATGCACTTATTTCATACAACTTTTACTAACCTGCTAGTAAAACAGAAGTAAATCCTTTCGTATCGGGACTTCTTACTTGCTTTACCAATAAAGCTCCTTGCTCAAGTATTTGAGTAACTTGTGTGCTCCATGAAATAAATCCACCAATAAGATATTTTTCCAGTTCTTCATTAGAGTGACCAAAAGCCTAAAACAGTGAAAAAGAGACATCACACGTTATACACATGTCTCAACTTTTAGTTTGGTTTCAAACTTAAATTCAAAAAAGTCTTGCATGGTTAACTGATTAGTGATTGATAACAAACCGGTTTGACATCATTCTCAAGAGCATAATTGAAATCATCAACATTAATCATCAGTTTCTCCACAGCATCAGAGTCTAGCTGCACTTTGCCACCCGCCTAAACTTTTTGAGTTCAGTAACAAAGTCAGCACTGAAAGTAATTGAGTGCTATTAGGAACATGCACCATGATTACAGATCAAAATACCTAATTACTACTAATACCAAGCATCAAAATACCTAATTAATACTAATAATCACAAAGTAACTCTGGTAATTAATAAATGCTGAAATTCTCAATTTTCCCTAAATGCAATAAATTTACGAATTTTTAAAATTCCTTGCTATGCAAAGAAGCAATGAATTTAAAAATTCATTTTTTTTTTTAAATTTAAAATGCTTGTTACTTTTACTAATCGATTCATTGCACTTGACTGAGCTGCTCGTACCAGACCTTCCAATTCAGCTCCTGAGAAATTTTTGGTCTTCTTAGCAAGTTCAATCAGATCAACATT